CACCACCAACAGTTTTCTATAAACTTTCACAAATGCAAAGAATAAGGCAAGCAAATGAAACAGAAGGAGAAAGAAGAATTTTTCAAGGGGGTGCAGAATACAAGTTCTATCTGGAAGGATCTAGGTATCAAGTCTTCTGTCTCTATGTATGTTGGTTGGAATTTGCCTATTCACTAGTAAACCGACGTAAAATAAGTCAATTTACATGGGCTGCAAAATTATGTGTCAAGCATACCTTAAAATGAATATCCAATCATGAGGTAGTACGTCAGTCTACTACGGTAGAAGGCATAAGTAATATTAGCTTCAAGCTAGAAATTCTGTATTTTACATAGCTTGACAAAGTTGCACTTTACTGAAACAAAGTTTAGTCTATATGGTTCATAGAACAGAGCCAGTCATCATGATTAATGAGGGGTCAAGACTTACAATGGCTCCGGAGGACGCCAGACCTTTGTATCAAAACTAGCTACCACTAGCTCACACTAAACAATACTTATGCCTCCTACCGTAGTAAACTTCAGATCACTATTAGCGCCCGCAAAATACCAATCAGAAATTACCTCGTTTTACTACAGGTGCTCACCTGTTTCTTGTAATTTCTTCAGGCGTTATCCATCATCAGCTCACCCTTAGCGCAGCTTGCTCACCTAGGCTGCTTAAGTCTTGCTCAGTCACGTTTTCCTTCCCCTCCTACAAGCCAATCGTGTATTATAATCTTATTACAGAGTATCATGACTAACAACAAAAGATGTTCAATGCTATTACAGCAGCACACAAGATGCAGTTAAGCTACTTAAAGTGATAATACCAGTTCAGTGACACAAGGGATAGCTTATTAGTATTCTTATTGTCTAATAATAGCTTTAAAATACAGTGGGAATATGAAAGTGCAAAGCATTGTCCTTTGCATTTGAGGTCCCTTTGCAAGGTCTCCCTAAATTAGCTGAAATTAATTAGCTAATCAAATCCCTACATCCTTTACCATAGGCAATCTCTACTATACCCAATTAGGAAAGATATACAGCTGTATTTTGGCGCTAGGACGCACTTTTAGGCGGCACTAAGTAGGGTACCAGGCAGAAGTAATGTTAGCTCAGTGCTAGTACTTTTGCCTCCTGACAGCTCTTTCGAGACGCTAGACTAGTGGTTCAGGCGGCTCCAAATACTAGCACCGTGCTAACATTATTTCCGCCCCTGACCAAAGCAACTGGTAGTTAACTAACTAGATATAGTTTCCACTCGACACACACTCCACTCCCCGGAGTACGATAAAACTTTCGCTTATTCATTCTAAGCTGGGCGCATTTTACGCCTCCGCAGAGTCTCGACCGCATCGTAACTCAGAAACGGGCAGAAACTATCTGATACCAACCCCATTGCGGCCAGGCCAAGTCAACGTAGCAAATCAAATTCAATGACTCCCAGCCTCCCGGCAAGAAGGCTACCAGCGTTATCTGCAACATGTCGCGGTTCGCATACCGACCTTTCCTCTGCTGATGTGTGGCTTCAGGCCTCCGTGATCCTCACCGGCAGGATGGTTGCGCGAGACCGGACTTGCTTTCCAGCCTCAAGGAACATATTTCCTGGACCCAAGGGTGATGCGCAAATCATCTGGCATCAGCTTGCAGCATAAAATGACGTCCATCTTGGGCATCAGTTTTTACATCTACCAGACCGTCTTTGTCGTCCTCTCAATCGCATGCGGCAGCTGCGCTCAGAGAAGATTACCAGCAAGTAACATCTCCTTAGCTGATCAGATCTACGACTTTAGCAGCCCACATCGTTGCCGCCTCCTCGCTCATGAGAGTATGTTCTTCGTTTAGGAGCGTTGCGAAATTCTCTCTGTGTCTTAGCTGAGCATTTTTTCTACACACAGGCATTATCCTGAAGAATGGCGATCACTATCTCCTGATTCTCGAGGGAGGATTTGGCAAATTTAAGCTCCAGCTCGACAATCAAGATGTGGAGGTGCAAGATCTTAGTGAGAAGCTTCATTATCTCTGCTCTCACGCAGTAAGCGCGATGCTGATTTAAGATGGTATCTCAGATGGCTACACCGTCGCTTTCGATTTATCTGAAAGCTTTGTCACTCCGGAGCTTGAGCCTGTATGGCAGATCAAGAAGAATGCCACAGGGCCTCGACCGCCTATTACCAACTTCTTCGGGATGTTCTCAGATCGGGAACAGAACAGCATCTATATCCAAGGCGGTCATTTCTATCATGCCACCGGTTGGAACAGCAGCTACTTTGTACCAAAAGAGTCGATTCCACCCTGGGAGCTGTGGAGATTTGACATCAGGACCAGAGAATGGGCTAATATCACTGTCGAGGTGCAAAACCATGAGCTCGCCAACAGAACTTTCGGAGGAGCTGCAGCATCCGTGTCAGCCTTGAACAAAAGCTATTACATTGGGTATTCTCTTCGCCCTGTAGAATGATTCAGCGTGGTATGAAGTTAACTGAATTTGGCAGGGGCATCAACGACGAAACGACAGGTAGCGCTACACCAATGGATACCTATCAACCTACATCCCAAATGCTCGTTTATGATCACAGCGCTGGCAGGCTGGACCGGGTTGAATATTATGCGCCTCCCGCCACAGAGGGCTACTGGCATGGGAATCTAATCCATATACCTGTGGGCCCTCAAAAAGGCTTCCTATTGTCTTTGATGTCGCAAAAGCAGACCTTGGGCCGGCAATACGCAGACCCTGAGGCCGAACGCAGTGTTCTTGGCAAACCAGTGAGCGTTATTGTCATCTGTTAGGAAGTTTAGCTGAGACGACTAGGTATCATTTGAAAGCGTCCAGATATACGACTTGGAGGCAGAACAGTGGTACGAGCAGGAGACTCTCTGGTTCAAGAGCGACGATCCAGTACCTAGGACTAGGTTTTGCGCAGCATTATTTCACGACGAGATAGATTACACCTGGGAGTAAGTTGGGTTTTTTTTACATTTCCCAGATTGAAGCAACAACTTAAGCAAGACTAATATTTTGGGTAACCTAGTCTCTGGATACATGGAGGACAAAAATTGGGTAACCAGGAAGAAGGCGTATCTGACATCTACGTCCTTTCGATGCCATCATTCACGTAAGTAATCAGGGCGGATTCAATAATGAGTGATCATGAAACGCTAACATTCAAGCCAGGTGGACAAAACTAACTACCACGCTCGCGGACCAGAATTTTATTAAAAGTCACACCTGCCACGCAGTCGGCGGGCAGCTGCTCTTGGTCGGTGGATATCCACCTGGCGCCATGGTCGCAGCAAACGCGTCCTGCGACCCCGAAATTGTCAAGGTCCTTCAAATCACTGAAGACGGCCCTGTTGTGAGAACCCCTCTGTCAGATGTTCCTTTGTCAATCGGCTGAATTTTGGCCTAGTGGACACCTAAATTCTCTACAAACACGACCTATAGAGCTCCGATCACGGTCCGTGAGATGGCCAACGGCAGGAGGTCTCCCATTGACGGCTGGGCTTCACCAAACATGGAAAATGTCTTCGGACCCCCATCACCTCCCACAACCCCGCCACGACCCGACACGGGGCGAAAGATAGGCTCAATTGTAGGGGGCGTCATTGGGGGACTCATTTTCCTGACTATCATTGGCCTCGTCGTCATATACGTTCGGAGGCTTCGGAGGCGTCGGATTGGAGTCCAAAGTCCCATCGAAGAAGTGTCACAGCACATGTTATACACCACTGACAACACTCCCGAACTTGAAAACACCCGCCAAGGCATGAAAAGACATGTTCTAGTGCAACAAGTGGATCTTGAAAACAGACGGGATGGTCGGAGGATGCCACTGCCAGAACGCGGGGAGGGGCATGACCACTCCCGCGAAGGCATTGAGATATCTGGGCCGGTGCAACAGTTGGAGACTGGTAGCATGCAGAATGAAGTGACGCAGTCAACAGCACCAGCTGAGGTCGACATGATTGTTCGTTTGCCATCTGCCGCTGCAGAACCGCTTCCACCGGTTAAAGATTTCACGACCGACCGTCAACCAGGACACCCTCCAAGCCAGACGGGACCGTCTCAGTGACCCGGATGGAACGGAAGACCAAAGTGGGTATCGCGGGTACCAAAACAGACCCCCAAGGAAGCTTTCTGTAGCATGGAGCCTGGGCAGGCACATGGAAGGGGACGTGGGGTTGTTCATACTCTCCTTTCTGCGCCTTTTGTCTATATTCCTACAACCCGTTCTACAACGGCATACATCACTACAACTGTTTCTATAACGAAATTCGAAGGGCAGATAGAATACAAAAGTGATATAAGGATTCAATACACCATTCTCCTTTAGGTCCCAGAACTGAGTCATCAGACCTGCGCGTAGAGTTGACAAAAACCTCGAAGAGACGGCATCTGTAAGCAAGGCATGGTTCGTCAACAATAGCAAGGGCTCAGAAGCGGGACTGAGGATGGGTGAAGCGAGGCTGAGGCCCCTGAGCAGCACCGGGATAGAAAGTGAGGAGGCAACATATGGAGGTGTACTTTACCTGCAGCCAGACCCTTATTAGTGTGCATTAGTGTATGCTAGCTCTGTATCAGCTTGATATTCCAATTATACAATAAGTCTTCCTGATTGATCATGATTAATCACAACAATTTGTATGTAAATGTAGTACAAATTATTATGATCACTCATAAGCACTCAGGAAGACTTATTGTACTGTTATTACTAGTGGTATTAGTGGCGTGCGCTATTAGGGTCCGGCTGCGGCCCCCTGGTAGGTGACCAACACGCCATTTTTGCTACACCCCTCTTCCGGGCCATGTAGGCTGGCCCCTCGGAGGCTAGTATTCCTACCCTAGCTCCCGCAGACTGACACCTGTTCCATTCTAAGGAGAACCTAACCCAACCCCCCCTCCTCCCCTCTCCTAGGCTTATGGCTTGCACATCATTGACCGAGCCTGGCGCTGAGGATGATGTTGACAATAACCGCTGCATAACTCTTTCTGTAACTACTATACAATACTAGTTGTAGAATAGTAACAAAGCGATTGTAGAAGAGTCGTAATACTAGCGTTGCAAAGCTATTATGTGCTTTATTGTAAACCCTGAATAGTAAATCTATAAAGTTACTGTTCTCCTGCTGTGTTGTAACGTATTCCACCCAGCGATGCTCTCCAGTAGTTAAGACTTTCGGGGCTTGCTAGAGGCGAGTGTGGCATCGCTGAGTGGAATACGTTATTCAAATCATTTCGAACTAAACTATTTAGAGCTTCAATTTGGAGCTCGGCATCTCTTTCAGGCTCTCAATCACCTCCTCCGCGGCCCTCGATCCAGCCCGCAGCGCTCCCTCAAGATAACCCTTCCATTCCCTTGCCGTCTCCCCACCGCCAAAATGCAGACAGCCAAGCGGCTCCCTCAGCGCTTCACCATACTTGCTCAAATCTCCTGGGCCCATAATGCTCGTCGGCGCCCCGCCAATCCACGGCTCTTTAGTCCACTCCTTGTAATTGATCTCTACCACATCTCTCGCCAGGTCTGCATGTTTTGGTCCTACCAGCTCTGCCAAATGATTCTCGATTGCGTCTTCGCGGCCGAGGTTTGACAGCTTATGCCATCTTGCTGCACTGTCACCATGCACAAATAGCGCAAGGGAGTAGTTGGATTTCTCGTCGTCGGAAGTTTCCCAACTGAAGTTAATGGGTCCATTGACGGAGAAGAAGCTGCCGACTAAGTCGATGTCCTTCTGTTTCCACCAGGGGGTGCGGTAAGTGAGGATGCATTTGGCGTAAATCCCAGGCTTGGTGCGACCGACAATAGCGCGTTTTGCGGGTGTTAGGGGAGGCATGAAATGGATATTGTCGTAGACGTTGGTAGGGATGGCGAGGATGACCTTGGAGCACTGCACGGTCAGACCATTGCTGGTGTAGACAGTGCTTGAGGAACCGTGTTGTTCAATGCGGGTGACGGGACTGTTGAGCATGATGGAACCAAGCTTCATTGAGCGAGCGAGGCCGGTGGCAATCGCCGAAGTGCCTTGAAGTGATGGTCAGCGTCTGGATGCATGAGTGCTATGAAAAAATGCTGTACTTGCCTTGCTTGATCTTCAGTGACTGAGCACCATGCTCGCCTTCGGAAGCTAGGCTCGATATGCCTCCCCCAGACTTGATATAGTCGAGGATGTAATGAAGCCCGACTTCCCTAGCTTCACGACCGACAAGGGCTGCAACGCTGTGACGCATGAAGTCTTGGGTAAATTTACTAAAACCTTTGCTCTGAATCCACTCTTCAACAGACATGTCTGACGGGGTGGGATATGATCCGGTGTTAATAATGTCGACCCGAGATTGCTCCACCTCGAGTGCCTCCAGCAAACTGTGCATATCGGATTCGCCAGAATTTGGTGGCTGTGACTGTTAGTGAAAGATCGGAAAGGTGGGTGATCCTTCCTTACCTTTGGGACCTCTCCTCTGGCTACTCTCCAGATGACACCGTCAGTCTGCTGCCAAATTGAGTCCCCAATCCCGTACTGTGGAACGCAATCAAGACCAAACTTCTGTGTCAAGGCATAGGCCTTAGGCTGCGTTGTCTTGTTGATCCAGGTAGCACCCAGTTCCACGAGCCCCTTGCCACTGGCAAGCTGGATAGTGTGGCTCCTTCCGCCAATTCGAGATTTTGCTTCGAGCAACATGCATTGGAAGCCAGCTTTCTGAACGTCGTATGCCGCCTGAAGTCCACTGAAACCGCCTCCGACAACATCAACAACGTCCGCCTTGATGGGAGCAACATAATGGTCAATTCTCCCTGCACCATCGCTCCATGATTGCGTGAATCCTTCAGTAGCTGCCACTGCCTCAACCTCGAATCGGGCTCCGGGAATTGCCAACTTTGGCACAGGAACCAGAGTTGTGATTGGGCGTGAACGAAGGCCATAAGAGTCTGTTAGAAACTCCATAAGAGGTTCCAAGAGGTTATGAGCTTCCTCGAAGTTCCAATCGACACAGTACCACGTCAACTTGGTCACGTCGCGGATGTCGGCGCCGCCAGCTTTCAAGACCGCAATGAGGTTGTCGAAGGCTAGATGGACCTCATCTTTGTAGGTTTCGGGGAATGAGCCATCTTTGCGCTGTCCCAGCTGGCCAGATGTGAAGACAAGGCGGCTCCCCGGATGCACCGAAACACCATGTGAGTAGAATTGGGGGTCGGGCAGGGAGGATGAATCGAAGAAGTGATGGACCGGGTGTGAGGCGAACTTGGGAGCCGTGATATTACAACTGGACTACCTCGTCAAAGAGTTTGAGACTTTTTAAGAGCTATGGAAGATCTTTGACGAGGCGTACTTCGGGCTCTTATATAGGCAGGATGCATCCACTGCCTGGCCGACCAACCGGCCGACAGTGGGAAAGTTGCGTCAGCTCCAACAGTCCGAGTCTAGGAAAAGCTCCAACAAGAAGCTTCTGACGGCGTCCGAGGGATCAGAGGGATCCTGTTGATGTTGATCCATGGCGGCTGCAGCAGTTGAGAATGAGTCCATGCAAAACGTGATGGGAGCAGTAGTAGGCAGTCGAAGGGAAGAAACTTAAAGCCAAGACATAACCACATTTGGTTAGCCAAGGCTCTAAGATACTAGTAGTGTTAAGATAGCGCTAAGATAGCGCTAAGATAAAGTCTCCAATTCTGCCTTATCTAAACGCGCTCTCGGTGGCGGTGGTGGGTCGAGAAATTGTTGCACAACGTGTGTAAGCAAGAAATCTCTGCCTCCGCTACCGAATGAACCAATACGAGTAATACGAGTATAATGGGACCAGATGGAGCCCGACTCAAAAGGCGGGTGTCGTTAGTTACACTCACACTCTCATAGCTGCTGTGGCCAAGTCCCGTACGCGTCCTTCACGTGCCATGCGTTAGTATATAATGCCTCTACCTCGCAAGCAAATCGGACTTCACTTTCACAAATACTGCCATTGATACTAAACGTGACAATATCTAACCCTTAGCTGCAATTCCCATCTGAGATGGTTAACGTTTTTATTATTAGCGCGGCCTAGGGATGTTCGAAACAGATGAAGAAAACTGACCGCTTACAGATAAGCGAACATAAAGATGAACAGTTTACTAAGTTAATGGACTGAATCCAAACGGACGTCGACTACTACTTAAATACGCAAATTCAAGCAGCCAAGTCTAATGCGAAAGAGCTTAACGGCATGACTTTTAAAGAGTATTGTTAAGAGTGGTAGAGGACGTGAGAGGAATGATCTCTAATCTTATAGTCCGCGCTCTTCTTAGTGTTAAGGCCAGCGAAGTCAGTGCGCTATACATAATTGACTACTTCAAATCCGGATGTGAAATCGACAGCTTACTCTCTAACGGAAAAGACGGAGCCCAATATCTTTGAATTCGCCAAGGTAAGTAAGATATACTCCCGCAAGCCCAATGTTGACCTTTTCCAGATATGCAGTCATTCTCAAGGAGTCTAGCCGCAGAACTAAAGCCGGGCTCAATTTTGCTATCCAGTCTGGTAACCTCTATCGAGCAGCTTGCCTTTAGCGACTGTCTTGTGTGTTATTTTCCCAGCACTATTCTTCGCTATAGGAAGGTCGTTATGTATATCCTAATAACAGAATACTCCACAATTCAGTTCAACCCGCCTCTTTTAGATCTAAAGCGATTTGTTTCTAAGAAGGTAATCGTAGGATATTACAGTAAGATAATATACATTTTTAATTAGCCCTGGTAGTATGATAGTAACCTCTTAGGTGTATTTATATTATATTTTAGGGTTAGCCTAATTTCCTTCTCTTGAGATATAAGTATAGAAGCAGATAGCCAGTAGTCTATCAGCTGTTTTATCGTTAGCAAGCCTGGGAGAGAATAATCGAAGCTATCAAGAACAAAAAGGTATAATCAGGCATGGAAGCAGTTCTCGAATGTGTTCTAGTATGCTGTTGAATCCATCCTGCACCCTGTTAATGTGATCGAAATGCAATGGGTTAAGGAGCAGTGTTCCTGGGGAGCTCCCTGTCCAGTTGTGCCGCCAGGGGTGATAACTCGTGCATCTGTTGCGGATCTGAAGACTCCGTTCTGGAACGTGCACTTTATAGGGGCTGAGACGTCAGATGTGTGGAAGGGATACTTGGAGGGTGCGGTGCGCTCCAGCCAGAAGGGGGCCCAAGAAGTAGTTGATGCCTTAGGTGGAAAATTGCATAGACCCAATCTCTGACCAGGCAGTGGTTTCTTAGAGCCAGTGAAAGCATTGCTTGCAACCTCATAGCTCCACCCCCAGGATGGTTTCAACAACACCCTCAATTCTCATTTTTCTCTGAAACATGATCAGGCCATGCAAAAATTGATGCCGTGCTCTTTCATCGTAAAATATAAACCATACGGACCAAATGCGTGCCGATTGTTGCTATCCCAAAGCAAGTTCAAGAGCCGGAGAGCTTGTATAACCTGGCTCATGCGCCATTGAGCGGTTGATTGTAATTTGTACCGCAGTGAGTGGCGTTGATCCTCACGCACGATACACGACCCAAGAATGAGAAGAGGCCAGAGCATGATAGTTCCGTAGGGCGAGTCATGAACTTCACTCAAAAGAGGCCATGCCTCATCAATGTGTTGTTGTATTTGGTAGATTACTTTGGGGTTGTCAACAACCGAGCCGCACATGGCTGCTTTGAGATATGCGAAGAGTGCATGGCGATACAGTTTCCCGGTTGCAATGTGTGCTGATTTCCACTCGGCCATTTCTCGATCTAGAGGTGGAGATCGCCATTCCTCGAGGCGAGACAAGAGGCCATCATACATGCTGACTGTTTCCTCCGAACGCATACCTAGCTCCTCTTCTCCCAGGCGTTTCGCTGCCAGCACGGATATAGAGGGTATCAGTTCGAAGAGGGAGTGACAAAAGCCGAAGAAGGTTCCAAAGGTTTCACACTCTTTGAGCCCCTTGAGGGACGTGATGAAAGGGTCCAGTGGAAGCGTTCGATCTTGGACGATGCCGTAAGGGATGATATTTGAGACTAGCGCCAAGTAAGCGTAAACTTCGAGGACGAATCCTTGAAGTGTCTTATTCTCCATGAGGCCGCCGTTCGCTAACCGTTCCTGGAGGTGAAGAATCAGCTGCCGGGTCGCTCGTAGGTGGGGAAATATTGCGCCGTGTATATTCCGGAGATAGCCTGGCAAAGGCAGTTAGTCTCAGCAGGCCGTTGGGGGTTATGTCTCACCTCCACATGACAAAGAAGAATAAGCACCAGCAACAACCGAAGTATTTGCGTTGTTGAACGGTCAGACGATGTGCTGAATGCCTGGCGAAGGCTGCATAGCACCATTCCGTAGTGTGCTGAAGTTGCGTGCCGGATTTCTAGTGCAGCTTCATTCATAAAGTTAAGATGGGTGCCACTGACAGCAAGCACCGCATGCATAAGCAGATCATCGACGCCAGCCAGTGGGAGGAGGAAGGTGACGAATTTATTATTTCGAAGAGGTTTTGTAGCAAGCAAGTTGGCTGTACGCTCGATGTAATGTGTCAGAAGCTGGGGGGGTGCTTAGAAGCGTAGCTCGCGCTGGAGGCTTAAGAAGCTTGATGGAGAAGCACTCCAGGTCGGGACATCAGCTACAGGTAGTATCGTCATTACATCTTCATCTGCGTCCTCCTCTGCGGACGCCGACTCCGCCTGACCAGGGTTTGGTGAAACGGAGGGAAGCAACAACGGTGGGTCAAACTCGATAGGGATGCAGGAGTTTGAATTCTCTGGCGCATAACTACCGCGGGATTCCTGAAGAGGGAGCAAGGCTGTCGCAGGAGCTGCAGATACCGTACATGATGGCTCGGGCTCGGGCTCTGGCCAGGTGCAGCAAAACTGATTCCGCAAGCAAGCAGTACAAGTTGGTCTTTTCTCGTCACATCGTTTGCGGCGTTTGCGGCAGTTCCAGCATCCAGTTTTGGTCCTTGAAAAGCGCGGTGGATATTGCCGAGGAAAGGGAGCCGCCTTTGCTGAGGATGCCAATCCAGCAGCGCCGTTATTCACCATGGGACCAAAGCGGGCCGACGGAGGGCACGATGATTTTGGCCAGCACAAAAGAAGGGCAGGCACTCTTAATTAAGTCCAGATTGACGTGGAATTTGGGAGACTCATCGCTACCGGAATTAGGCGGTAAGGTTTAACAGGACACACGTAACACGTATTGGGTGTCACGGGAAAGTGTGTTCTACGTACTACAGTACCATGATACGGTTACAAAGAATTGGGAGAATCGGTTTAATATCGGCAAAATAGGGCCGGCCAATGAGAATTAAAGAGCAACCACAAGGCCAGCCACACCGGATCTGACGGAAATGCTCACAATAAAGGCACATGCGAGTGGTTCTTTGACGACGACCAATTTCACAAGTGGCGAAATGGCAACACTTCCGGTCTTCTCTGGGTCACCGCAGGCCCAGGTTGTGGAAAGTCGGTCTTGTCGCGAGCTCTGATCGATGAGCGACGACTATCCACAAATGTTATAACCTCGACTATCTGTTATTTCTTTTTCAAGGATGGATATGTACGTCGAATGCACAGTACCGATGCCCTGTGCGCAATACTCCACCAGCTTTTCACTCAGGACTCTTCTGGCGGCCTCATCGGAAAGGCACTGGCCCGCCACAAGAATTTCGGGGAAATCTCTAACTCAGAACTTCTCGGAGCTATGGCAGATCCTGGTAGACTGCGCTTCATCCTCGGATGCCGAAGAAGTCGTTTGCATACTCGATGCTCTAGACGAATGCAATACTGACGGAAGGCGATAATTGATTAATCAGCTTGAAGAATTTTACTTGGCAGATCGACCTTCCAAGCTCAAGTTCTTATCACTAGTCGCCCGTACGACGATCTAGAACTATCTTTCGAAAAGTTTTCTGGTGCGTCTACATATCTGCGCTTTGATGGTGATGACAAGTCCAAGCAGATCAGCCAGGAGATCAACCTCATTATCGATAGCCGAGTACGGGACATTACCCGTGGTTTCGCTGATCGAAGACCGCCGCGTGATTTCTAAACGTCTAAAGCTCATGGAAAATCGCACATACCTCTGGCTTTACCTTACCTTTGACGCTATTGAACAGAGTGGCAGCAAGCGGCGGTCCGACATAGAAAGTTTAATAGCTGAATTGTCAGAAACAGTATCTGATAAGTACGAAAAGATCTTAGGCCGAAGCAAAGATCATGCTCAGACTGAGATTCTACCTCAAATCGTCCTTGCCGCGGCGCAACCACTGACTGTCGACGATGCTAACATCGCCTTGACATTGGCTTTACCACACAAACAAATCGCGTCGCACAGCGTACTGCCGTCAGAGCTATGGGGAAGAGAAATCTTCCCAAGCTTCGTCAAAAATCTTTGCGGGCTCTTCATCAATATCCATAACGAGAAGCTATCTTTCATGCACCAGACAGCTAGGGAGTTTCTTTTGGACTCTAAACGTCAAGGGCACTGGAAAGGGCGCTTCAACATGCCAGATTCGCACGGTAAGATATTACGACCATGTCTCGAGTATCTGGTGCTGCCTGATCTGCCTGATATGCCTGATAGCAAATCATCATACGAAGACAAATGTTCCAATAGCCAATATCCGTTTCTCAGGTACGCGGCTGTACACTGGCCTTCGCACTTTGAGAAGGCCGGTACAGGGAGCGAGAAGGAAATATCAGAATTAGCACTAAATCTTTGTGCCACGAGATCAAAACAATACCAGCTCTGGTCCTCTATATTTGGGAGGTGGTATACCCTTCCTCAGACTACTAGCTCTCTTATTTTAACATCGTATCTTGGGTTTGAGGTGATCGTTAAGCAACTGCTCAATATAAGTGAGGTCGACATCAATTCGAGTACTGGAGGTCAAACGCCGTTATCCTGGGCAGCACAACGCAGGCACGGTTATTAAGCAACTACCTAATTCAGATAAGATAAACGTCAATTCAAAGGATAATTTAGGTCAAACACCATTATCATATGCAGCATAAGACGGACGCAAGATTGTTGTTGAACAACTGCTCAATACAGACAAGACAGGTGTCAATTCAAAGGATAATCAGGTCAAACGCCATTATCACAAGCAGCACAAGGCGGACGTAAGACGGTGGTTGAACAAATACTTGATACAGACAAGTTAGATGTCAATTCGAAGGATATTTACGGTCGAACGCTGGCTGTTATTATAAGCAGCAGTAAATGGGTATGAGACAGGCGTTGAACAACTACTTAATACGGACAAGATAGACATCAATTTGGAGGATAACAAAGGTCAAACGCCATTATCACAAGTAGCATAACATAGATATTAGACGGTCGTTAAGCAACTACTTAATACAGACAAGGTAGTTGTTGATTTAAAGGATATTTACAGTCGAACGTTATTATCACAGGCAGAACTAGGTGGATATAAGACGATTGTTGAGCAACTACTTAATAGAGGTGAAGTAACTGTTGATTCTAAAGATAAAGATGATATAACACTATTATTTTAAACGGCAGCGCTAGGACATGAGATGGTCGTTAAACAACTACTTGATACTAAAAAGGTAGATGTTGATTCAAAGACTAATGATGGTACAACACCATTATCAGAGGCAGAAAATCGGGGACATGAGACGACCATCAAGCATCTGTGATCTTATAGGACTTTGTGTTAGGATCCCACGGGAGTGCAAGGGCATCTTCTGTCATTCTGGTGAGAGGGGTAGTCGACACAAATGTGCATTATGGTCATCGTGAAGCTGCTTGGGTCTGAGCTAATTATTTTCGATCCAAAGCCAAAGCATTCCTTTCCCGCTACCTGTACTCAGAGGTTTACGGGACTTGTCATGTCAGTTCATCAACAGGCTTCGTAGCCGACATCTCCTTCCAGGAAAAATTCTCTCTTTTAGGGAAGCGGAATAGCTTCGAAACCACCATTAGAAAGAGGGTGGGGATAGGACCCCTGCGTACCCCATCCAGGGGTAACAGAGTGGCAAATTCACCCTACACGGCTGTGCCACCGACACCGACATCGAATCCTCGGATTTTAACGTCGCTTTGAAAGCACCACTCGATATTGCAGAGACAGAGGCGTAAGATCCGTGGGAAATTTGTCGAACCTGGGGACCCGTTATTATGGCTTTGAAGATTAGAGATATGTAGACTGGGATTGCGGAGAAGTCACAGAGCGAGCAGGTGTAGCGAGCTAAGAGGAAGAAGGAAGCCAAGAAGGAGACTAGGTAGGCTCTGATAGCCTCTAGGCGGATAGAGGGAGAGTATCCTTTGCTTGAGACTTTAGGTTCGGCGGCGGGCTAGAAACCTCATCCTAAGAAGACAAAGGGTGTGTAGAAGGTTGGCAGGTGAAAAGCGGAGGACCCGATATGACCGTTCCATGGAGGGGTTGCAGCCGACAGGATAGTCATGTACTGGTGGAGGAGTTCGGGTGTCTTCAGATTGGCTACCTTTAGATTCGGCGGTGATGGAGGCCTAGAAAAGCCAGCATGTTAGCATATGTCGCCGACAGGATGGCTTAATACCAAGTTATGTACCATGAACGATTTGGGTTTTAGTTAGCGATTGCCTGTTAAGCAATAGCTATGTTCCGAAGATCTTCTACCGCACCTCACATTGAGCTTGAGAAGACATTCTTGGGATGGTTTCGCATTTTTCCCCCCTGATTTCCCCTTCATGGTGGCTTCGATGCCCTTCCCAATTGGGAGAGACAATTCAAAGTCCTCATGTGGATCTCGCTTCGCACATCCAGGAACCGTCATGTGCGCAAATACCTCTTAGCCGTCCCAGATTTTCCGAAGTCCTTCCAACCACCCCTGTTGGACCTCGAATCTTCTCTCTATCAGAGCAATGGCCAGATGTTTCGCCTCGTCCACCATCGGAAAGACTCGCACGTGAGTATGATCACTGGCGCAGTACCTAAACGGCATTTTATCGTTCCTGACCAGCTCAATGCATTTTTCGCAGAAGCACACATCGTCACAAATGCGACAGAAATGAAGTTCGGCATAGGAAGTTTGGGGGGACTCGCATGGTCCATCACAGGTGAACATGCAGTCAAAGCCGGCGTATTTGGGGTTGATTGACTCGCTGTCGGTATTAACTTCATCGTTACGATCATCGTCTTCAGAGGAGGAGGAGGAGGCTGCTTCCCAGTCCTCGTTTCCACCCTCATCTTGTGTTACGTGTTTCTCAACGGCAATTCCACGTCCTCGGCCCTCTTGACTTCCATCCTCGCTATGTTCAGGGGTCGAGTTGGCCGTGTTTGAGTCTTCAACTTGTAGCTTTGCTGCTTTCTCAATGTATGCTTCATCAGGATCATTCATTAGCTCTTTCGTCGTCGGTACCAGTTCACCTTCGGAGAAGGCGCCTTGCTGTGAGTTGCAGATATCGTTTCGTTGCTGTTGCATGGAGCGTTGATCTTCCAGTGGCTTCATAGTAATACCAAGGGCGATAGACGCGTTGAGGATATCGCCGGCAAGCAGCAGCGCCGCACCCAGCTGAGCGTATGCTGCTTGATCGTTCCAAGGGTCCTCATCACTTAGCAAATACAGTGCTTGCTTGATGGAGGGTCTGATACAAGCTCTCCAGTCTTCTTCTTCTGCCTTCGCATACTCATGCAGCCATAACCCGAGAATCAGGGCCGGATAGGAGGCACGATAGTATCGCTTGCTTCCTTGCTTGTGGCTAGCCAACTCCTCCAGCTTCTTTATATGGGCTGAAGTATTCAAGCCGGAGTTGAAAGCAACTTTTGCAGCATCGAAAAACATCATGCTGAGGAATTTTGCTGCCCTTGTCCTGTACCAAGCTTGAGATTGTTGGACTACTTCATTGCTCTGATCCACCAGAGTGACGATTTTCTCCCACAGTTCGATGGACTCTTCAGGCTGTGGCGCATGATTATACAGCCACTCTGCGGCTTGGACGGCCAACCAAACTGATTGATCCTCACTAATGGAATCGGCATTCAGCTTGATGGCGTTCTTGATGGAGACTTTCATGAAATGCTGCAACGCATCGTTCTGCTCTGTTTGCGTTATCTTCCCAACTTTGGAAAAAACCTGAACATTGTAGTACTCTTCATACTGAGCCCTCAAGAAAACAGCCCAAAGCGAGCTCCCCTGTTTCCATGTCTCTCTCCTGTCAAGCTCATATAGCAGTTCTAGGAACTGAGGGTACCTTTCTGTCCTGTACAGAGCCTCAATATAATGCTTGATGCTGCGCAGGGTGCTCACGTCGCTAGCCGTATTGTTTCCGTAACGGAATTGGCGACTGCCTTCATACGCAGCCTTTGCTATTTCGACGGACTCCTGGTTGTTGCCAAGCTGTAGCTTCCAGTCTGGGATTCTTGTTTGGAGGTAGAATTCAATCCCTTCAAAGTCTTCTGTGCGCGGTAAATGGTAGATGGCATCCTCCATCCAGCGGATCGCGGTTTCATATTCGTGAAGATTCTCACCATAGCACCTTGCAAGTCCCTCCATTGCCACCCAGCCCCCGGGTTTCAGCTCAAGAGCCTTTTTGAAATATTTAATGGCTCGTTCTGTGTAGTCTTCTTCGTCCGCTTCCATCATAATCCATGCTATACCCGCGTAATAATGTTCCGACTTTGGGAGTGTTTCTACGTTCGCAATGGACTCAATGGCATCTAAAGGAATTTTCCACATTCCATTGTTGACATTGAAGGTGTCCATTGATCCACTATTGGTTCCTTCATCTGTCTGCAATCGTCGTCAGCAGGTTGAATCATTTCACTGTGCCTTGACATCTTACCAATAGACTGTAAGCGTACATCACGAAAACTGCTCTTTCCGACTTCTCGAGATATGCGGCATCATTCCATCCTGTCTTCGTGAGCCATTTTCTAGCGCAAGCTGCAATTAATGGCTGAAAAAGCGCCCGAGCCGATCGCGTCACAGATGATGCCCAGCTGTGTTCGTGTTCATCAAGATCGTGCAGCTGCTCTGTGATGATCTTGCGCACGAGACTTGAATATCTGTCCGTACAAAACCATGTCTCTATGAAATCATTCCATACATCCTCACACGCTTTGAGTAATACACGACCGTCCTGGAAGAACATGGAAAGTATTCGAGCCAACTGCACAGCAGCTGCCCTTGGAATCATATTGAAATCAATCTCTACGAGGTGTTTGATCCAATTGATTTTAGCGTACGTTTTCAAAGAGTACACCGAATACTTGTCGGCTATGTCTGTGCGGAGTATTTGAAGGCAAGCAATGACGACAGAAAGTCGGGTTGCATTCAAATCCTTTGGCACGATCGAGGAATCGTGCCAACGTCTTGTGGATGGATCACCTTCTGTTGTCAGATAGTCCCGAATGCGTGCATGGCTGAACGTCACAGTCGTCTGATCCCAGTGGACTGGAATGTCGAATACGTCTTGCCTGTCTTCTGTGTTTGTCGAAAGAATACCATCTTTTGATTGTTGAGCTTCATTAGCCTCGCCGCCTGAGCTATCCATATCACCCTCTATTTCTTCATCGTTGTCGCTACCATCAGGTTTGTCTAGAAAGTCAAAGTCGTCTGGCTCACTCGCGCTGTCATCTGCATGTGTTCCAGCTTCCACTTCATCGTATTCAATTCCGGTAATAGGTGCTGTAACATCAAAGAGACTGGAATATCGAGCCTTGAGATGCTCCTCAATCATGTAGCAGTGCTGACTTGCACTGATGAGAAGCAGCACAAATAGCTCCGATATGCGCAAAGGTCGATAAGCGCATAGGACCCAGGAGAGGAGGTCTGTCAGGTACGATCGATGCATTTGTTCTTCGACTTCAAGGCGTTTGAACACGTGGTAGAGCATGTTATCGAGTCCCTCGGGTACCCCTTGGAGCGACTCCCTGATAGCTTCGGGAGAAGGCGACTCCCGGATCTGCTCAAACACCAACCTTGCCCATAGAAACATGCCTTGAGATCTGGATTGGACGCTATTGTATATTTGTCTAGCAAGTGTTTGATATTCTTTGTTGGCTCTCCTTCTCCTAAGCACTCTCAACACAGAGACCTCGCCCAGTCGTTGCCGAATGAACGCTTCGATGTCCGAGGTGTTTTTGTCTGGTGTGACTTCAATGATCCGTTCTTGTGTCCGAAAGCCAACTTTTTCAAAGCCAGGGTCTGCGCGTACATCCGGCCTGGCGAACACGGCAATCTGTATGCGACATTTACGATTAGTCGTACCACGATCTACGAGTTCAGCTAAGCAGGACAAAAATCTGACACGTTCAGTCTCGGGAGCTTCATCAAGGCCGTCGACAACAAGGAAGGCAAGACTGGTTGGAGATCGTGATGAGGTGTCTTCTGAGAAGAAATCTAGAAACAAATGTCGCCAGATTTGACGTGCAGAAGCAAAGGTGTCCTGGTGCTTCTTGTTAATCATTGCTACTACGTGCTTCTTGAACCTGTCATTTGCTTTCGTTATTTGTAAAGCAGCGGCCTTCCACATCTGAGTGCAATCCTGTAGAGCTGGATTGTCATCTTTGAAGTACAGGTAGCTGACCGAGGTGAGGGAAGGTATATCTGAATGTTGGGGGTACCTGTTCTGCAGCGTTTCGATTGTTCTCGCTGCAAGCATGGTCTTCCCCACCCCTGGTTTTCCGAACACCCAGAGTATGGGAGCCTGCTCTTGCTCCCAGGCGTGGAACATAACATCGTCTCTGATCCAAAGCCCAGTGCCCTGGGTAAGCTTTTCAACGTTCGCGGCATGCTCACGAGCTATATCATCCGTCGTCTTCGTCCTCAGAGAGTCCGCGAGACACTTTTCTTCTGCTTCAGAAAACGCTCTTTGCCTATCACGGCGCTGAGACGCAAGTACGTCGTCGACTCCGGCCTTGACTATTTTGACGTCGCTTTGAGTATCACTCATGGTTGTCTGCAAATCTTTCACGCGTCCGTATGTTAGTGCTATTACCAGGCCTAATTCGCTCTCAGTGTATCTTCGGAGCCTATCAACAGAGAAGCTAATGCCATCATCTTGCAAAAACACAGTTCTCGCCCATTGCTTGAACCGTTTTCTCTTAACACATGCTTCAGCTTTGCCGATAATGTCGAGAAAGTAAGCTAGAATGTCAGTGATTTTCGCCTGAAGGGAGGACTCGATGCTGCTGTACTTGTACTCCTGCAGTCTTACAGTACTGTCATGCATTCGTTCGAAGAGTTCCTCGATGCCATCATAAGCCTTAGTGACGGACTCGCATGCCTGCAGTAGGTATGATGCGGCGCCCAAAACAGCAGCGGCCGGTGCGTACGGAGTGTTTCCGACACCTTTCTGAACAATGTTTAAAATAGGCTGCATTGGCGACATGCACTTCGCTAAGGCTGAATACATTCTGCGATGACCACTGCGAAAAGTGCTGAAGCGTTTATCCTCTCCCTCAACAGCTTTTTCCAAGTCATCGAGGCTCGAAAATTCCCGGAACGCATGATCCTTGTTGATCTTTCGCTCTGTTTGCTTTTCATATTCTGCAACTGCATCCGCCCATAAAGCACTGAACAGTAGTTGGTCCGACATGACAAGTTGTCAATGGTAGGTCCTTAATAACTGCCTGCTCGCGTATTTGAGGCAGCCCAACCCTCAATGGTCCAAACTTTGCACTTTCATGATAGGAAAAGTGCTAACATAGATATTCTTGGTGGTGGATGGAGAACCATCATGAATACAAGCTCGTCTGTAATTTTCAGTTGGCAGAGACTTGTCGCCTCTTTGCCTTTTGTGCAATGTAAGGCTGCCGCTCTAGTGGCCGGTGGACCATTACTACCGTAGTAAGCGTTACGATGAAAATTCGGAGGTTGTGCCGCGTGCGGAGTTGCGCCCTTGCAAGTCTTCTACATACTGAGATTAGATAAACTCTTTCCCCTGCGTCACTGAATGGGCCTCTTTCCTTACTAAGATGAGGTTGCTGCAATTTTACCGTAATAATATTGCTGTAGTATTTTTATAATTAATTTTCTAGTTCGAATATAGAGATAATTTTACGGAGTCGTGCATCAAAAGTAGCCAAACTACGCTAATACTAAGGCTCTACCAAAGATACCTACTAGTTAGCAACTAAACTGAATAATTAGCCACACATAAAACCATGACCACTATTCATCACGTGTCTGGCTTCCTCATCTCCCTCTCCCTCCCATCTTCACTCCCCACCGTGTCCCCTTTTCGTAATACAGTAATTGCCGGATGGATAATGGCGGCATCCTTCCTGCGCCCCTCCACATTCGGCCCCAAAGACGAGGACTACCTGAAAAGTCGCTTCTCAAACTATGGCCGGCCGGTCCAACTTGCCGCTTTGTGGCTTCTCGATGTGCAAGAACTACGCAAGATCAACGAGCTAATCATACATGGGAGTGATAAGACGGTCATGTCTTTCAAGGAGAGCCAGACTAGTGCCGTGGGCATGGTGGCTGTTGCGGTATGTCTGAACATCATCCGAAGGATCTTTGTGTTTCCATATGTTCTCTTACGGGGAGAGAATTTTTCTCCTATGGCTCCCAGGCCTGTTTGACAACTTTGTATATACCTTACGCCGCGATATACTGGAGTCAACTGCGTTTGTTACACGATGACTAATAAACAAGCTTGTCAAGTCGGCCATTGTATCTCAGCTATCATCTACCACTCTCCAAATACCCGCCCTCTCCAATATAAACTGGACAGCCAGCGCTTTCATCATCGCCGCGCTCCTCTTCTCCATCCTCGCAACCATGCTTGCCTGTCTTCAGCGGCAAATATTAGGCGCATTGAATCAGCCCAAGGGAGTCAGGATGTGGTTGAGTAACGGATCTGCTAATTGCTTGCACTCGAAGAACGGTGGCCGTTCATCTTCCCGTGGAAGGTCAGGGGAATTGGGCGGATTGCAGACTTCGATCGCCAGTTTGCTGCTGCTGAGACTACCGAATGCATTTCTGTTGTCCGGTGTGATGTGCTTTCTGATTGGGTTTGGCCTGTTTCTTGGCTTTGCTTGGAGACAGGATCTAGATAACACGCCGTCACGGGATAGTAACCGGGCGGTTATGATTATGTATATTGTGGTGGGGTGTGTTACTTTCTTCGCAACTGGCGGATTGGTGAAATGGAAGATGTCAGAGGTGGATCAGGTAGAGAAGGTTGTTGGGAAGGATATCGAGGAGGGCGATGATGTGGAAGAAGCAGAGAGCAGTAGCGGCCAAGACGAGGATAATGAAAGTGAAGGAGAGGGTGAGGCTTTGCTGGGGAAGAAGAAAAACGACGGCACTTGCTCACAGAAAGAAGTCTCGCATCATATACGTATTGCCGAGGCGCTCGAAGATGCAGCGAGGGCACATAGACACCTTGCGAAGCTCATGAGAAATGATAACCAGGAGAATGAGGACAGCTAGACTAAGAGGCAAGCGTATGAATTGATTGATCAAGGGCGAAGCACCGCCGTATCTAGAAACAGATTCACCCTAATCCTGAAAATCAAGACATTCTTTTTCCTATTCACCTTTCTGGTCCACCTACATACCTACGTTGTCTGAGCTCGTCCTTTCTGGGTAGAGGGTCCATGGCAAACTCTATCCATGATCCAACCTAGTACAGAGAAATTTGGTGCTGCTCCTGATTCACTTCTAACTAGTTAGGAAATGTAGTTCATGAAATTGTTTCATCTGGAAAAGTCTGGATCACGGGGAAAGACATTGCCAAGACTCCAATGCCGAGGCTAAGCGAGACAAGGGTCTCGAGAACAATTCCATGTGCTCTGCCTCGGCCTCTTCTTCTCCCTCTCCCTCTCCCTCTCCCTGTCTCGGACATGCGACGGATCTATTATAATTCTCCGTCTCTTGGTGGTTGTACTGTTCAGGTGTATATCTCCCTTCCTATAGCTTCACCCCCACTTGCATCACCTAGGGAGATCGTCATTTCGTTCCAGGGCTCGGTATGGCCTCCATAGCTAGAACCCTTAGACCCCTCTCGAGGGGTTGCGTCTCTTGTAAATCAACACTCAAGACACGACCGTCGAGGACATTACAGAGGTCAGAGCAGAGTCATATCTCTAGATACAATCTAGCATGATCATCAATTGACAGCCCCCAGATCTCGTCCCTTCACCACCACATCTCACCGCCGCCTCGCTGACCCAATAGACCATGCCGCCCTCCTCCCCACCCCCATAACCCACTTCTCCGAAACCGAGGCTCTGATGAAAGAATCCGTCTCCAAGTTTGCAGACTCAGAGGTCGGCCCCAAAGTCCGAGATATGGACGAAGCGGAATCTATGGACCCGTCGGTCGTCGAATCCCTCTTCGAGCAAGGCCTGATGGGGATTGAGATTCCGGAAGAATATGGTGGAGCAGGCATGAACTTCACCGCCGCGATTGTGGGTATTGAGGAACTCGCCCGCGTCGACCCAAGCGTAAGCGTGCTATGCGACGTGCACAACACGCTTGTAAATACAGCAATATTAAAATGGGGCAGTGCAGCAATGAAGAAGAAATATCTCCCCAAACTTGCTACAGAAACGGTAGGCAGTTTCTGCCTCAGCGAGCCCGCTAGCGGAAGCGATGCCTTCGCTCTTAAAACTCGCGCCACGAAGACAGATTCTGGTTCTTACCGGATCAGCGGTAGTAAGATGTGGATCACCAATGCCATGGAATCGGGAATATTCATTGTCTTCGCCAATCTCGATCCCTCGAAAGGGTACAAGGGGATCAGCGCCTTCATCGTCGAGAAAGCGGATAGGGGCTTCAGCATCGCAAAGAAAGAAAAGAAACTCGGCATCAGAGCGAGCAGTACCTGCGTTGTAAACTTCGACGACGTGGAGGTGCCCGCAGAGAACCTGCTGGGAAAAGAAGGCGAGGGATATAAATACGCCATCGGCCTTCTCAACGAAGGTCGAATAGGTATCGCGGCACAGATGACCGGCCTCGCCCTTGGCGCATGGGAAAACGCAGCCAAGTACGTGTGGAACGACCGTAAACAATTCGGCCAACTCGTCGGCTCCTTCCAGGGGATGCAGCACCAGCTCGCGCAGGCGTACACGGAGATCTGCGCCGCGAGGGCGATGGTTTTTAACGCAGCACGAAAGAAAGAAGCCGGAGAAGACTTCGTGATGGATGCTGCGATGGCGAAGCTGTTTTCGAGTCAGGTTGCCGGTCGGGTGAGCGGGCAGGCGATCGAGTGGATGGGCGGCATGGGCTTTGTGAGAGATGGCATCGCAGAGAAGATGTGGCGGGATAGTAAGATCGGCGCCATCTATGAGGGTACCAGTAACATCCAGTTGACGACTGTGGCCAAGCTGTTGCAGAAGGAATATACTACCTGACCTACCTGTAACGTACGACATACGGAGAGCGATGAAAAAGCTTGGCGGATAGTAGGGGCAATGCTTACCCGGCTGTATAGATACGTATGAGTCCTCCTTCCTCTTCAAGACAAAGCATCAAAGCGATCTGAGATCGAGACTGGGATTGCGGTCGAAGCATCGTGTTCCGGAGTACTTAGTCACTTAGCCCGTTTTGAAAGGAAGACACGTCATACATAACAGTTCGTTCGGAGGCGGGCCGGAAAGATCGAGTCATACATGCATACATACGTACATTCATAAAGCCCGAGGATCGTGCAGGGGTAGGGCAGGCACTCACTCGGTCCAAGGCATTTAGACAGCATGGACATTGCGCACAATGCGTAGGTACCTAGACCAAGTGCGCAGTATTGGTTAGGAGTTGCGCTTGTTTCTACCTTATGCGCCCATGGCAGCACACAGGTCTCCCAATGCAAGCCAGCAAGCTTCCTTTGCCTTCTTTTTCTGTGAAACAACATATTGCTGGTGGGCGAACTGCCGTTTTAGGGGTTTATCGTGGTCATCGATCAACCGCCAGATCGTTCTCTCTTGTGGGTGGAGGGCATGGATTCAAAGTGGCATTTTGGTGACTATCAGTCGGCAGGTTGGGGGGGTTGGGTTGCATACAATCATGAGGGAAATTCTCTTCAAGGGAGTAAGAATACCGCAGCAATATCTCTTATCACTAGTATAGCATATATGTGCAGGAGCTGAGGCGTAAGGTATGATATTGATACGAACATTTCCGGGGGGCAGGAAAGAAATATGCAGAGAGGTTTTTTGGTGATTGGCTATAGGAGCTGAGATACACAAAAACAATAGTGGTAAGACATTCCTTTTAAGAACAGAAGGGTATAGCAAAGACATCTGGCCACAACGCCGAGTGATCGATATTCATGAAAGTGGTTATGCGAAATTTCAGTTCGACGAGACGGAAATGGTGTCTCGATGGAGCAATGTCAACAGGCCTCCGGTCTCGAGCTTCGTTTTTCTGCCGCTGCGTGTCAATGCAAAATGTTTTCATCAGCGTGGACTGCCATTCCGCCTGGTCAAATGCTAGTATCGTGCTAATCATATCGCATGTGTCCGTTGTCGTTTTTGCCCTTGCATAATACATTGACGTTTCTCGAATGGAGCGCTTATGAGAGTAATCCTGTGGGCTGCGTGTGATAGACTGGCTTCGAAGGTAGAAGATGGATGGAAGCACGCTGTAAATTCGAAGACCATAACCTTTGACTCGGCGTAAAATGATCCAGTCATAGCGACCAGCTTGCCTGGTTGCAGACCTTTCGGTTGATGACATCGTCTACCTGCCTCTCTGGAGGAACGACGTGGATTTGTCCACTAGGTAGAACGCAGTGCAGCGTAACTGGTGAGGATTGCTGTACTTGATATGATGGTACGAAAGAAGGGTAAACTGGCGGTGGAAGTGCTCTTTCGAATTGAGTGTGAACTCCGTCAACACTCCCGTCAGATGAAGCACATGCTGCTGATGCTCCCCAATAATACAAGGAGGAATTCATATCAAGCGGTGCTGTGGCACAAGATGTAGTGAATGAATCGGGTGCTACAGGCGAGCAGGTTTCCTGTGAGGTCTCCTGAGCGGATTGGACAGTTTCTATTTTCATCGCTGTTAACTTCCATGTAACGTATGGAGTGCTGATAAACCGCGAGGAACCGAACTCACCATGAAAAGGCGCTAAGCGACCGCGAGACACGTTCATGACCTTGGAACGATTCCAGGAAGTGTTCCCTGGCTCGAAGTTGTGTCGACTATGCAAAACGTCTGCCTCGCGAGGTGATCTCGGCTTTAGGCATCTGCGGAGTCGTTCATTTTCACTTCTTAACTCGGATATCTCCTGTTCGAGGCCATCGATACGATCCTTTGTTCGCTGGCGGATCAGTCTTTGTGCTTCTCGATCGTTGGCACGTTTCCTCTCGAGCTGTTTTGCAGAAAGAGAGCTAACACTCCTCTTGGGGGGCAGTCGATGTTGACTTCGCCTCTGCCTCGTCTGGTCGCCCGCATTCGAAATGCGCATTGCTGATTGCCTTGAAGGATGGTGTGCAGCAGAAGTCTTTGCCATGGTTTACAGGTTGACCAAAGTCGGGTTTTGCAACTCATATCCGAACACCTAAGCCCAATGGAGATAGGTATCGAAAGGAGGCAGAGGACCGGTATACTTGTGGCGAACCTCGCAAGACTATATGTAAGGCATAGTCGAGCATATATATCAGGGCAGACAACTTAGGCGATACTTCTTGGACGGGCAGGGTTAGGGTGGCGCTGATCAGCTTTAGACAAGCGTTGCTTAATCCATCATAGCTCTGTGATTACCTGTTCAGGGACAAAACCAGAAGAGGGCAACATGCTTGAATAGTATGGCTTGCAGAAGGAATCGTTTCACTGGTTGCCACGAATAAGAGCATCTGCCTTCCTTTAACCTTTCAACGACGGATCTATTCGGTACAAGGGGATCAGAAGCCCCGTGATAAGGTTTCAATAGCGCTTCGTCGTCTCTTCTGAAAATGCTGACCATACCCTTCATTCAACCGAGAATTAGACCATGAGCATGCCCCTCTACCCAAGTCATAACAACTGTGACGCAGGAGGTGGTAATACAGAGAAACGATGGAACGCCAGGCAGATATCTTTTTGCCAGGTTCTATTGTAACCACGGAAAAGATCCTTAGGGCTTAGCACATTGTTTTCCCACAACACTAAAACAATCAAAAGAAGAAATCGGGGTTGATATGCAGAAGTAGGAGCCATGGTCCTTTCAGGACTTCTGAAACCAAGTGTCTCTGAAGGTCTTTGATAGGGGCTGAGGTGCCGTATGATATGTCTTGAGGCTCGATGAAGAAGCGGTATGTCACGTGTTGGCGTCGATCGAGGGACTTGAACGTCCAGTCACATTGCTAGAGAAGATCACTAATGCAACAGATCCATGCCGGAGCTTATCTGGGGTTGTCTCAGGATGAGAGACATCTGAACCGTTGACACATAAGACTCATTGTCCATGTTATTGCCAATGGTGAAACCTAGCAAATTGGCCATTTGCCTTTGAAGCGACCTGGGCACGAAAAATACCATGTACTCACTGGGCCAACCAGATGCAAAGTCACGCATCCATGCAGGTGTTGATGGGCCGTTGAGGCTTCTGACGTGGTCCAGCCTGCATGACACAGGATGGCACATGGTAAAAGTAAAATGCTCTCCACGATCTGCAAGCAGGAATGCCGTTGATCGAAACTCGACCATGACCAGAAATGCAAGGTTCCATGACATGGATTGATGGGCTTGGCTAATTCTCTTCAGGCTCATGTTTTTAGCTCTGGAGCATTTCATGGCCGTTGAACTGAAGGGCCACTGTAGGCGATCAGCACTCAAAGAGGTGGGCTGCAGTCCAAAAGCAAACATTCCGAACATTAAACGAGATGTGGCATGTAACGGGAAAGGTATGCTTTTCTGGTAAGTTTTCTCGGGAAATTTCCGATGTGACAGGTCAAATCGTGCTGATCATCAATTTGCTGCAGTTATGGCGGCTGTGGCACGGCTACTACGTATTTAGCCTTGCTTCTAGATTGGTCAGCAGATTGCAGGTAAGCAGGTAAGCAGATAAGCAGCTTGCCCTGAAGAGCGTAGAACTTCATCTATTTCCACGCCATTGGAAAGCTGCGAAGCTGCTGGAGCATTGCCAACAGCGCACTCGCTGCTACTTGCTTCACTGGGTCTTGCTCCACATGGAAGAGTCAGTAACCAAGGGTCATCATGGGGATACCAGCCGACTGAGAGTCAATGGGCAGGTGCTTCACACTTAACACTTCGATTTATTTTTACTCGCAGATTATCAGTGGCACTGCTACTTCTTGAGATATTGCCCCCGTAAGTTCATAACATGTTTAACCATCTACGTGCGGTTCAGAAAGTACGAGCGGTCCCAAGACCGTTGTAGCCAGAAGAGACTGAACCGCGTAGACAGCGGTGGGGGGATAATGCCTGAATAGGGAAGCTTCGTCCTCTGCTTAACAGGTACAAAATTGCGTTCACTCTATGGTAACCGTCTATCTTCGCTCTGAAGCCCTTGCGCCTGTGCTAACGCTTAGGACGATTTTAGCAGAATTGTGTCCGCTGGAGCATTCTGGGAATGAAATGCATCTTCCATCAGCGGCATATGAGATGAATCGCGATTGACGGTCAGCAGTGTCGAGACTTTCCGGTTCTGCATATGTACAAAGCAACGACAGCAAAGCCCAGCCTCTTCAAAGTCTGTCACTGTCCTTCCATGCCTATGAAGTTAAGATTAACAGGAATCTCCCTTATACTAAGCGGATTACTTACTCTCAGAGCGTGTCGTCCACCGAGCTCGGCTTCCAACCCATCGGGATACTCTTTGGGAGCACTCGGTCTGTCTGGATAAGTCTGCTTCACAGCATAGCTCAAACCAAGTACGGCAGATATAAAGCAACCCCACAGAAACAATGCTCGAGCGGGGCTCATGTGCGTGTATTCTTCCAGCGAAAAAATGCCCAAGATATCATTGTCTTCATGCACTGGCTCACCAAAATCTCTCCGCTCTTGTTTGTCCCACCATGGGTGATATGGATCTCGGAATTGACGCTTTAGAGGGTACGGATGGTTGGTAGGATTGACGTAGCCACCATTCTGCACAGTCAGCCAGATGCTCTTAGACCCTTCTGAGACCAGGTCTTCGTACCATTTCCGGATCGGGGCTTTCTGCCTCAGCTCGAAGAGCTCGGATGGATGAGAAGTGGATGGCAGGAGGGGTACATCGTAGTGGTGCCAAGGTTTTGGGTATGCCAGCAGCACCAGCCAGCAACCTTCTGGAGAACATCCTAGATGAAATCAAGGTTCACATTCGAAGAGCAATGTTGGGCTCGGAGTATTCGATATCAGACTGGATTGAGGTTGTAAGCCGCTGTGAATGCGACAAAGCTACAGGAGCAGTGTAAGGTGAGGTTGATGCCGCTTTGAAGCGATCCAACTTGAAGCACGCTATTTCACAGCTTGGCGAGTCATCTAAATGAGGGAAGATGCCACTCCGAAATTCTCCTCCACGCAACACATCAACTGGACACTTATTCCCATCCCCAATCATCTTCCCGGACCGTGGCCACGCTCAAATTTTGTCAGGACATTCTTTACGATCAGATGAATCTTTTGATCTGCTTATTCTGTGGTTTCACCACCGCGTTGTTGAGATACTTGGGGTCAAATTCTCAGAGGGGGGCCGCATTCTCCCCTGCTTCGAGAAATGCAAAACGGTAGCCTTGAAGGTAGTTCGCAACCTCACAACTCTACCGTTGAATTAGGTTCGCCATTGTTGTCCCCACGACTGCTATACTTGAATAATTTTACTAATTGTGTGATTGTGTTATAGATCAAGCATTACCTCAGTTTACCAAGCCAGAAGATGTTGGACAGGAACATGAGGCTGGACCGCCAGCGAAAAAGCGGAAACTTGCAGACACGACTGCCACTTCGAAGACATTGCCTCGACCAATATCACCCCCTTGGAAAAGGATCGCTGTTGATGGACCAACTTCTTTCGTCGAGGGTGGGAGAAGGAAATCGTCACGAACCAATACCATTCCTTTGGAGCTCCAGCCACAATCAGCAACGAGACGGACACGAGCAGCCGCGCACAAGGTCGATGAGGGCAGAAGTACATTGGCGCGGCATTCGTATGGTGGATCCTCGAACCACACAAAACATGAAAAGGGCGCTGAGAGGAGAACGATGGCTGCTGTTAGACCTGCGCAAAGTGGACCAGGTAGACCCTCCGGTTTGAAAGAGCCTACGAGGAGTACATCCGCTCGACGAAATGATGCTTCCAAAATTGAAAGCTCACCGGTTCAAGGGACTAAGAGCACTGTCACACAACACTTCCGAGATGCCAATGGTGATACTTCGACTGAGCAACAACATTCTACACAACAACTTTTAAGCCCAGAAAGAGGCCAACGTCAACCGACTTCACTGATATCGCAACTTCACGAACCACTTATTAGCTTTAACAGGAAGATAGGCCCACAGTCACGTGACGAGGACGACCAGCTTAACGGACCAGGAGCCGCCGAAAAGTCGCCCAAGAGCAGGTTGCAAAAGATCAAATTCACAGTGCGGATGCCGTCGATCGTTGTCCAAACTCCTGCGAATATCCCGCTGCCGAAACGCTACACCACATTTCGCGATTTTCTAGAGCAAGACGAACTGGAGCCTAAAACTGGCGACGGAGTCTTAACACCCCGCCAGGTGGTTAGAGAGGCACAAGTTCGCAAGAAGGTTGAGGTTGCTCAGCGTTTAGGTGGACAATTTGACAAAGAGCTACAACAGGCCTTGCCAGAGCGGCAAAAGGAGCCAAATCGGCAACATTTCCACCATGACCATCTCCTCGCACACGCCTTACATTTTCGAAGGCTTCTTCACAATGAGCACCTGAAGCACAAATCAAATGCAAAAAGAATCGCTCACGAAGCTGCAAAGATCGTTCGTGCCAATATACCCAAGTCCGCCGAAGAGGTCGAGCAGGAGCAGATTGATCTAGAGGCAGCCAAATACCGGCAGGTTGTGAAAGACATATCACGTTTCTGGGCCTTGGTCGAAGTCGAAGTGAATAAGATTCGACAAGCTGAAATTGATGCTCTTGATCAGGCTCGTAAATTGCGGGAATTCAATGAACAAGTAGAAAAGCATACCCAGATGCTGGCACCGAAGCAGAATGCGGACCTACTAGGTATTTCAGACGATGAAAGTGATCAATCAGGAGACTCCACAGACGACACTGTGGAAAGTTCAAACGAGGAGGATGAGGACAACATGTCAAGCAGCGACTCTTCGAGCGAGGCTGATGGCAATGCCAACGATGCAGATGCTTCATTGACAGCGGAACAGCTCCGTGAGAAGTATGCGAGCTTGCCCAAAGCACTGGAACCCTCTGTGGGCAGCGATACAGCTGCACATATTAATGCAGAGCCTGTGCAAGCTAGCGTCAGAATTGCCAAACCCATGATTCTAGAAGAGGTTGACAATGCTCTTCTTGATAGTGACTCTGAGTCAATCGGCACTAACGACGGTGAAGACTCGGATACTGAAAATTCTGATCGGAGTGATACAGCCGAGGAGACGGAGGAGGAAGATGAAGAACCTGCGACATTGCGTTCCCTTTTCGGACCTACCGACCTCAGCGAGCTTGCCAGCCCTGCACCTATCTTGAGCGTGGAGCAATATGAAAGACACGTGATAGGCGATGACAACCAACCGCTCGAACGAGAAGATGCTGCGCGCTCCATGCCAGAGGTTACTTCGCAAATTGTACAGGTAGAGCCGCTTACCTCAGTGGCCAAGGTTGACGTCATGTCGACCCCTGCCATCGAGTTTCCGACAGACGAGCACAATAGCATCGGACCCAGTACTCCCGTCTCACCACACACGTCAGTCACCAAAGCTTCGGATGGAGACTCTTTCACGTCAAGTGACGCGCGTGCTGACAGTCAACGGCCTGTCACGCCGTTAAAATCAAACATACCACGTATCAAGACCCCTGTGCCATCCTTGCTGCGCGGTGTTCTTCGAGAGTATCAGCATGAAGGGCTCGACTGGTTGGCCAACCTCTATTCGAATCACCGTAATGGCATCCTTGCTGACGAAATGGGGCTGGGAAAAACCATTCAAAGCATTGCACTCCTCGCTCATCTCGCTACCGAGCATCATATTTGGGGTCCCCACCTCATCATAGTTCCTTCAAGTGTAATACTCAATTGGGAAATGGAGTTCAAGAAGTTCTGTCCAGGCTTCAAAGTCTTAACCTACTATGGAAGCCAGGCTGAACGACAACAGAAGCGGCGAGGCTGGATGGACAATGATCTTTGGCATGTCGTCGTAACCTCATATCAACTAGTCGTTCAAGATCATAAGAATTTCAAAAGACGCAATTGGCACTACATGATACTTGACGAAGCTCACAACATCAAGAACTTCCGTTCTCAGAGATGGCAGACTATGCTTACGTTCAAGACACGTGCTCGACTCCTGCTAACCGGAACTCCTTTACAAAACAATCTCACCGAGTTGTGGTCCTTGCTTTTTTTCTTGAGACCTACAGACATGGCAGAGGATGAAGATGAAGCATTTGCTGGTCTGAGCGACTTTTCCGATTGGTTCAGGAAGCCGGTCGATCAAATACTGGACCAAGGAAGAGACACCATGGATGATGAAGCGCGGGACCAAGTAACAAAGCTACACAAAGTTATCCGTCCTTATCTGCTTCGACGTCTGAAGGCCGACGTTGAGAAACAAATGCCGGCCAAATACGAACATGTTGAGCTGTGTCGCCTCTCGAAGCGTCAACGTCAGCTATATGATGGTTTCATGTCGATGGCAAAGACGCGAGAGACACTCGCTTCCGGCAATTACCTTTCCATCATCAATTGTTTGATGCAGCTGCGGAAGGTGTGCAACCATCCAGATCTCTTCGAGACACGACCTGTGACGACTTCATTCGCCATGTCCAAACCTGCAGTGGCCGAGTTTGAGGTCAACGATTTCCTATTTCGACGCAAACTGCTTTCTGGCTGGGATCAGAAGGCAAACTTGGACTTTTTGCGGTTGGCCCCAATCTCAAACGAGAACAAATCTGCTGTTGAGGTTTTGGAGAGCTCAAGAATAATGGCTTTTTCGCAGCTTGAAGCTCTTCGATTAGTACAGCAACAGCGTCTGGGATTGGTCAAGCAATATCCTCATACTTCGATTTCTGGAGCGTTGGCTTCTTTGGAGAGTATTGGTAGACATGACCGAATGGCTGAGCTTGGGCACAGCCTCTATCAAGAGTATTTCCACCATCGGGCAAAGCCTCTCTATGGAACTGGTCTAATATCTCGGCTATCTATCGAAACGACAAGTACGGCACTTTCACCGTGTTCGGACGAGAAGTCCTTTCCACGCTTCTGGGAGCTGAGCACACCTTCTGCGAGATTAGATCTGGTACAAAGCGTTCAGCATCGAGCCACTGTAATGCAACCTCTAATACGAAGATTCGGTTGCATTACTCCCGCTGTTGTCGCCACGGATCTAGCCAGCAGGTTCTTGTCCGAAGAAGGAACAATGGCTGTACGAGAGGCTCCTGAGCTATGGATTCAAGACCCCTTCCACGAGGCACGAACACGTCTATCTATCGCCTTCCCAGATAAGCGATTGCTGCAGTACGACTGTGGAAAACTGCAGCGTCTGGACAAGCTCCTGAGAGAACTCCAAGCTGGTGGGCACAGAGCTTTGATATTCACCCAGATGACAAAGGTCTTGGACATTCTCGAACAGTTCCTTAATATTCATGGCCATCGATACTTGCGACTTGACGGCTCGACCAAAATTGAGCAGCGACAAATCCTGACCGAACGCTTCAATAACGATACCCAGTTTCTCGCCTTCATCCTCTCCTCTCGTTCTGGAGGTCTCGGCATCAACCTTACCGGTGCAGATACCGTGATTTTCTACGATCTCGATTGGAATCCTGCAATGGACAAGCAATGTCAAGACCGTTGTCATAGGATCGGTCAGACCAGGGATGTTCACATTTACCGGTTCGTTTCAGAGCACACGATCGAGTCCAACATCTTGCGCAAGTCAAACCAGAAGCGTATGCTTGACGACGTTGTTATTCAAGAAGGTGACTTTACCACAGACTACTTCAACAAGCTCAGTGTTCGTGATATGCTTGGTGATGACATTGGCGGCATTGATCAAGATGCTAGCGCTGCCCTCGACAAGGTGCTTGGTTCTGCGAAAGGCGGATTGGGTGCTGTGCTTGAAACAGCCGAAGATCAAGAGGACGTTGTCGCTGCGAAACTAGCTGAGCGAGAAGATAGACACGCCGATGATGGTGACTTTGATGAGAAAGTCGTCTCGCACGAAACGAGCGCAACTCCCAGGACTCCAGGAGCACAAACTCCACGCGAGGATACGTTGGTCAACGGGACCGGTAACATTGTTGCTCGAGTTCCTCACCTCAATCGAGCAGTGCGTGATCTGGACGAGTGGGTCCTAGAATCAATGGTCCGATGGAAGAACGAAGAGCTCGGTGAGATCAAAGCTGGGACTTTGGCAACAGCAACGCGGGATAGGAGATCCAAGAAGAGGAAAGCCGGTGAACATCGAGTCAAGAGGGCTAGATGATTGCCTTTGGTCGAGCAGAGGCCAGATCTGGAGCACGTTGGATCCGTGCCCTTGTCTAATTGTGTATGATACTGTTCCATTAGTAGACCACTGCATTGCATGCGGAGGCGTTCGCTACCGATCCGAGGCACGAAGAGCATGCTTCCAATATGAGCAGATTATGAAATTCCTTGCATGCCTTTACAGTTAAATTAGGTTATTGACAGCTACATGGTGGCTGGAAGTCCTGACCCAAATGCCACAACAGTCCAGTAGTCCAGCCGACTTCTTAACTCAAATCCCATGGTGTTGAATCCCCTTATCTCGGTTACTTAATCCCGCCGTTAGGGATGGGGATTGCAGTGCCTTTCCGGGATGTCATCCGCTGCACCGAATAGACATTGATCTCGATACACGATATACGAGCGGTAGCTTTATGCACGTGAAAATGACGTACAGGGCTGTCCGTTATACCTGAGGATGTAATACCCTTTCCTGACAATCATATATCCCGTCACTGTATGCCAGCGCAAGCGGCGAGGGAGATCGTGAGTGCCAATTAATCCATTGTGCATGGTCATCAACTATATTTGGGCAGGAGACTGAAAGCGAGCGAGTGCTCTTTCCCTTTGGCTTGAGTAGAGACATCTCGAAGGACAGTCTGGTGTATTTTCTTGTTCTACTCACTTTGAATGGCTTTCATCTCCTCTCGTGATTGACTGGATAAGATCATACGAGGTTCAGTACGTTTTTATGTTTCTTTCTGGCGGGTTCACTGTGTCTCTTCATCATGTACCTCTTAATTGACTCATCAAGAGAGCAGATCAGTCACAGCCGCAAGTATGGCAAAGGGAAAGTTCTCCGATCTGCCTCTGTCTATGGACAAGCCGGTCGAATGTCCCTACTCCGTACGTCCTATCTAGGCCTGTTCCTAGCATCTCTTCCTACACGAAGAACAAGCCCACCATCCACCTCCTCCTCCTCCTTCATGACCAGCATGGCCGAGCAGAACACGGTGCTCTACTACCGGCTCATCCTCGACCACCTCACGGAGATGTTCTCCGTTATCTACACCCCGACCGAGGGTGACGCGATCGAGAACTACTCGCGCCTGTTCCGCCAGCCTCACTGAGCCGGAGCAGGTGGAGAGGAATCTGTCCCGGTTTGCCGGCCCGGAGGATATCGATTATATCGTCGTGAGTGATGGGGAGGAGATTCTGGGGATTGGTGATCAGGGCGTAGGCGGGGTGTTGATCGCGGTGGCGAAGTTGGTGCTCATGACGGCTTGTGCGGGCATTCATCCCAACAGGACGTTGCCGGTCGTGCTGGATACGGGAACTGATAATCAGAATCTGTTGACTGATGAGCTCTACTTGGGCTTGAAGAGGCCGAGGGTGAGAGGGAGGGAGTATGATGAGTTTGTGGGCAGGTTTGTGCAGGGGGCGAGAAAGCGGTATCCTAATGCTTATATTCATTTTGAGGATTTTGGGCTGGAGAATGCAAGGAGGATTCTCGATCGGTATCGGCCTCATATCGCGTGCTTCAACGATGATATCCAGGGCACGGGTTGTGTTACTCTGGCAGCTATCATGGCTGCATTGCATGTCAGTGGTGTCAAGCTTACGGACATGAGGATGCTGGTGTTTGGATCTGGGTCTGCAGGGATGGGAATTGCAGATCAGGTCAGAGATGCTGTTGCTACGGAAAGTGATAAGACTAAGGAAGAGGCTGCAAAACAAATATGGTGAGGCCTGAAGGGTGCTTTCATGTTGACACCTAACAAATAGTATAGGTGCGTCGACAAACCGGGACTGCTTCTCGATTCTCAGGGTGACGGCCTCACCACAGCACAAAAGCCATTTGCTCGCAAAGCCTCAGAGTGGGGGGAGAGCAAGGACACCAAGAACCTACAGGCGATCATCAGAGAAGTCAAGCCACACGTGCTCATTGGAACTTCAACCCGGTCCAAGTCCTTCACGAAAGAAGTCGTACAAGAAATGGCATCACACGTCGATCGACCCATCATCTTCCCGCTCAGCAATCCAACCAGACTCCATGAAGCAGATCCGAAGGACATATATGAATGGACGGACGGCAAAGCGCTCATTGCGACAGGAAGTCCCTTTCCACCCGTCAAACACAAGGGCAAAGAGTATGAAGTGGCCGAATGTAACAACTCGACTTGTTTCCCGGGCATCGGTCTTGGAGCTGTTCTGTCAAGATCGAGGTTGCTGAGCGACAAGATGCTGGTGGCTGCCGTGAAGGCTTTGGCTGCGCAGAGCCCGGCATTGAAGGATCCCAATCGGGGCTTGCTGCCAGATGTGACGGAGGTGAGGGAGATTAGTGTCAAGATTGCTATGGCTGTTATCAAAACTGCTGTGGATGAGGGACATGCACAAAGAGAGGATATCCCAAAGGATGACGGAGAGTTGGAGGAATGGGTTAGAGTGCAGATGTGGGAGGCCAAGTATCGGGAATTAGTTCCAGCAAAGAAGTAGGTCGCAAAAGCAGGTGGTAAGCCATGAAAAGGCGCACAAAACCCGTAAAATGTAGGTACACAAGGAGTCATACTGGCTACAGGTTGACCCGTATAAGGTCGCTCCAGTATGAACTATGAAGGTCCATTGAAATTTAGTCTTGCAACATTCTCAACGCCGGTCATCAATGTCCCGTGAGACAAAGAGTCCTAGTCTCGGTCCTTCCCAGCTCCAGCAGACGTAGACGTAAGACACGACGTACGAGAGCCATGACTTCGGAACGAAGAGCTTGTGGAAAGAGTCCCTGGAAGAGGTGCAAGCAGCTGGAATGGATTGTTGCGTGGAATGAATGGACAGTACGATGTTTGAAAGGCAGGAACAAGCGCACTTGCCTTGCCTATAAGGACGGTTACTGGAGGATGCGACGAAGTGAATGAAGTAGAAATTCAAGTAAAGTAGACGGCCGATGCATCTTACTCTCCCAGCTGACCTGGGCGAGAGGTGAGAGGCTCGGAGCTGCCAATTCATGTAGTATGATACACTTCTCTCGGCCACCAACAACCTCTATGAAGCATGTAGACGATAGTTGTTGTACTGTGTATGTTTCACATCTCATATTGAGGCAGACGGTAGAGGACATATACTGGCCAGTTGAATATAAGTTAGTCTTACCCTCAGCCTAGGAGCCCTCTCGTGCACTGAGAGCTGGGGGCCTAGGCTTTAGGAAAAACAGCTGCCATGAACGACTACGTTAGCACTGTGATTCCCAACCAGCCTCGGCTATCTTGAGTTTTCGGTCCTGTTGGGATCGCATCTCCTGTTCTGAATCAACTTCAAATTCCCTTGCTGACAACAAACAATCGACGTACCTGCTCAACCGTACCCTGCATTACATATCTTGTGACAAGGACGGACTGGCCTTGGCCCAGCCTTAGTGCGCGGGCGATGGCTTGATTCTCGACGCTGGGATTCCACTGCGGCTCGACGATGAAGACGCGATTCGCCACTGTGAGATTCAAGCTTTTCCATGCTTCTCAGCTTACCGAGATGTGCGCAGAGCTTTAGCACTTACCCGAATGCACCTGTGCCAGTCGTCATGATGAGCACTGGCGTCTCACGCGTTCGAGCGAAATCATCGAGAATCTTCTGACGGGTTGGCAGTGGACATTCGCCATCAATACGTTTGAAGGAAATCAAATGCTGGTTGAGGTGCTTTGCGATCAAATCTAGGGTCCTCGTCCAGCAGGAAAAGATTATGCTTCGATATGTTAGAACCAAAAAGATCTGTCAAATCTACCGACTTCGTACGACTTGCCTTTTCGTCCTCAGTAAGTCTTGTTGTACGTCAAATATAAGTGCAGCCATCTTTGAAGAATGACCCCCAAAGCGGAAATAGTTATCCTGGCGTCCCTCTTGTGCTGCAAAGCTCCCACCAGCTTGGAATTCAATCCCGGCAACGCTAGCAGTATCACATAGAGGGCATTGCGAGGGTAGGCGACCCTCATCATCGCCGTTTTCCTGGGCTTTCTCGTCTAAGCATTCTAGACATAAGACGTGGGCACAGCGTTCGGCATATGTCCGGTAGACTCGATTCGTGCCTAAGATAGGCATAGACTGTCTGCAAGAGGAGCATTTAATCTCACCGTTTTGTCCAACCGAGCAAAGGGCAGCCTCTTTTTCGTCTAGCAAGTCCCGCTTACTGGCCCACGAAAATGGACGCTGGAAAGTGCCGTGATTGCACAGGATTCGTAATTGAAGCTGTGCCTGAAACATTCCAAACAGGCTTTTCTTGTGGGCTTCGTCAGCGTTTTGTCGAATTGCCCGAATCATGATTTTCTTGGTCTGTTCGTATTGCTCTCGTTCTTCTCTTGTAAATTCAATGACGCGGATGCTGTCTTGCTGGTCTGGTAGATGAATCAAGTCCTTGGTACGGCGCAGACAGAGGGAATCCATAAGCAGACGTAGCCGCTCGCAGGCCGAAGTACGACCATTTCCACCTTGCTCAAAGGGTATCACGATGAATCTCCGAAATGTGGCCATACTGTCAAAGGGAGCTACTCGAATAAAGGTAAACAGTGTGCCGATATCCTCCAACCGATTCTGAATAGGCGTGCCTGTTAAGCACCAGCGCGAATTTGCATGCAGTTTGGAAACACTTTGGTAGAAAGTAGTGGACCGTCGACGTATAGTGTGAGCTTCAGTAATCGTAAGTCTGGATATCTAAAACCTTCTATTGTTTGGGGATAAGACGAGGGGTCAACAGATTGTTGCTAGGTTTTGTGTTCTCTGCTCCAGCCCAACAGTGATGCAAAGATGCCTGGCATCTTGATGCCCACCCTACTGCTATTGCGTCGACAAGTCGGGTTTTGACACTCCCTACGGGTGACAACTTGACAGCGGTCAAATACTCTTGCAATTTTGTGCTTTGGCGGTGCAAAAATAGGTGAATCAGAGACCACAAAACCCGGCAATGATTCTGTTGACCCCAGCCTTGAGAAGGGGCAGTGAGGAATGCGCGGTTTGCATACCTTCATCGAGAACAACCCTGAACCATACAATCTCATGCATCGGGCTCTTCTTCGCTGCGAGGTCAACTGCGAGGGTGTGGTAAGTAGTCAGAACAATATCTGAATCTCCAATGATAGTGGGTATTCTCTCGCGCTTGTGCCCGTGATATTTTATGGTTTTGATGGTGCCGTCCAGATGTCTGGTGACAGAGCGTTAAACTTAAACAAAAGTCGAATGCGGCAGGTGATGAACTCACGTGTCAATCTCTGATTGCCAACTGTTCAGCAGTACTGGCATTCTTCTCAGCCTCTGCACAAATTCAGGAGACAGTTACATTCGAAACCACCCACAGGCTGAGGAAACAACCACCAACGTAGCTCGAGATATCGGTTTTCTGGCCCACTCTTCGTTTGACAAAGCCGCAGTGCCATTGCTTGCCCAGTGGTGAGCATTTTCCAAAGTCTTCGTAACTAGCGACAGGATAGAAAGCGACTTGCCCATGCCCATTTCATCCGCAAGAACGCCTCCTCCAGTTTCCGAAGGCATAACTGGTGATATGGCGTTTGTGATCGCATGGCGGTAACTGCAAGAGTAACTGGTGAGAGCTGTACAATGAGTAGTCAAAAGTTGCACGCTTACCTGACGTGACCATCCGACTCCACGCGGCGCCATAGAGAGAATTCAGGTGACACTGGACCACACTCCCTCTGCATCAAATACGATAAAGCTTCTTCCTGATGTCTGAATGGTCCCAAGTCAGCTGAAGTGAAGATAGAAGGCAAAGCATATACACTAATGTTGAATGAAAATGAGCCAAGCAGGGAAACCATTGCGAAGGACCAACCACGATGACACATGTAACTTAAAGATGAGCATTAGGGACTCACTGAAGTAGGGGTGTCCTGAGTCTAGTGTCTCCAATCATTCGTGTCAAATGTGAGCTTCTCTTCAAGGTAGCATATACGTTAGAGACAGTTTCTTGGAACTGCAAGGTGTCGTCGCCTTGCAACACGCTTTCACCAATTCCCTTTGGACTGAGATCCACGTGTTGAGCTTCCAAACCAGGAAACGTTAGGACGTGAGGATTCTCGTATGTAGATCCCGGGCTTCGCTGATCAGGGTCCTGCAGATAAATTCTGCCAGCAGAAAGATGGTGACCGACTTCCTTGTAAGACTCTTTCGATCCATAAACGTTGATGTTGATACGTAAAGAAGCATCGTTTGCTTTGGTAGCCTTGCGTATGACATCGTACAACGATGTCGAATCTACTAGCGCCTCCAGGTGGATGGATGGTAGACTAAGCAGTCCATTGAGGATCTTTGCTGTACGGGTGTCCAGGAGTGCGAATTCAGCGCCATCTGGGAACGACAGGTAGACTCGATCCGAAGAACTCTGTATCTCAAAAATATAGTTTCTAGCATTCTTGGATATATTGTCTGCATGAAGCTTGGTATTGATCTGTGACATGTCTCCCACAAGTTTGACGGCCGTGCGGTAGATCTAAAGCAGGAATTAGTATTTCTGGTATGAACAGGAAGACATCGGTATATGAAAAGCGTTTAGAAGGCCAGGATGACATACCATCCCATAACAGAGCTCTCTTGAAGGCCCATTTAGGGAGTGTTCAGAGGTCACACTATGGGCACCAATTTCCAGGGTAACCGACAACCCTTCGTCCGAGGGCCCATATTGCGCAGCCCAGGCTTCGATGTCATATCCCGCGGAGAGGAAAGCATTAGATGCGGGTTCTGACTGGCTCAGGTCCAGGTCGAGGTCGTCGAGTGTACTATCTGCATTGAGCAATAAACTCCCCAGGTCCCATGATTGATCGGCTAGCACAGGTTCGTCGCTGAGAAGATGTTAGAACGACGCGGCGACGAGGAGTAGCAACGATTTTGACCTAAACTTATTGTCTTGGTGGCATTCTAGAATAGCCCTTTGCCAGTAATCGTCTGCAGGGTCGTTGCCATGGTTCAGTATTCGCTTAAGCGATGTCATGCTAACTTGCGGTGCCTCTTTTCAGGTGGAGAGAGCTGCGGAGTCGGGTGCGGAGGTCCAACGCTACCCAAACTAACCATTTTGCAACAGAACTTCTATTTGGCGGTCCTAGGACATTCGGCCCTCTTAAGTCGCAGCGTCTTGAATAATGTGAAGGCAGTAGGGTGCCTCGAAGCTGCCTTGAGCATTTGACGCTTGATCGATGCAATCTCCGAACAATCATCGTTGCGTCGAGGGTAAGCAGTGGCTGAGCGACAAAGCGCAGCCTTGCGCTCGCAGTTCGAGCCTTGCCTTGATGGAGTACCGCATATTGGTCAGGCTCACTGCCAATTTGCCTTACGGTTCAGTGTTCTTCTTAGCCTCTATCAATCATGAATTGTGTTTATCATGAAAGAGCCTTCGCAACTCGGTCAGCTGTGCTGCAAAATTCTGGTGTTGAATTCAGTGAAGGCGGGTCCGCAAGACTTTTTCAAGCTTTGTACGATGTTTGTCTCAGACGATAGCTTTCGCTTGATTCTATCGAATTTCAAGAAACGTCTCACACAAAAAGAGCAGGATGACTTCCAGTTCGCAACCTTGGACGACGTACGGCTGGAGATGGCTCGCATTCAACGAGAACAGGCTACTAGAAAAGAGATGATGAACATGCCTCGGATTCAGTCTTTCCTCGAAGCCATGGAACAGTTCGGCAAAGTGATCGAGGTTTTCCTGAATACGTCAGAGTTCGTGGCCTTCATCTGGGGGCCTATGAAGTTTGTCCTGCAGGTATGGCAACAGCCCCAAGCACCAGAACGCCGCTGTAGTAGCATGTAAGAGAAGCATGGCTGCCTCTGACGCTTTATCTTGGGGGATCATTCAGAGTCTCGCCATCCACGTTGAATAACCCCTAGACCTTCCCACATTGATGTTCCCGATGCTTGAGATGGATGCGTCGAGCTGACCGCTCTTTGTGCTCTAGGTAGCGAGCACTTGGGCCGAATCCTTTGACATCCTACTCGGCGCCTATGAGCAGATTGGAAATCAAATCCCTCTACTGCAGCAATTTCAAGCGGTTTTTGATAAGAGCCCGCACATGAGAAGAGTCCTGGAGATGATATACTTTGATATCCTCGAATTTCACAAGCGTGCAATACGATTCTTTTCCGGCCCTGGTAGGGATTGGTTGTCGCTCTTTACGCAGCGGACGTACATGGCTGACATACTATGGCACAGTTTGGCGTCAAGTATTCCGCTCTGCATGGAAAGACTTCAAGACCAGATTCCAGCACATCTTGGACGGGTTACGCCAACACAGCGAACTGCTTGAGAGCCAAGCGAATCTACTTCACATCCAACAATATCGGGCCGATAGATTGGCTATGCTTGATCGTTTAGACAATATGGAAGAAGCCCAGCGCCAGGAAAACTACGTCACGATTATGAACTGGGTCTTTGGCGCGAACACGAAGTCGGACCACGATTTTGCATGCGCGGCGCGTAGTGAATACCCGGAGAGCGGGCGCTGGATTCTGAGGAATTCCAAGCTCCAAAATTGGAAAGAAGCTGACACGCCCGTATCCTCTATATTGTGGCTGAATGGAATACCCGGCGCAGGTATGTGACTTTGCTGATGAAAGACGTGGCAACTGCGCACAGGGTCTCACTCTAAGTAGGCAAAACCGTCCTTGCCTCTGTTATCATTGAGAGCTGTCTGCATGCCACAACGTCTACGACTAGCTTTTTCTACTGCAAAGACGGTGATTCGGACAAGAACTGCTTCCTTTCAATTCTGAAAGGCCTGTTGAGCCAGCTTATTTTTCATTGTCGTCATTTGATTCCTTTCTGCTACGACAAATACCTGGCCAGCGGTGAGTTGACCCTAGTCTCCACAAGTCTGGCAAAACAGCTTTTGGAATTGTTTTGCCAGGAGATTCACAAGCAATGTATCATTATTGATGGGTTGGACGAATGCAAGGAGTCGGAGCGGAAATCGATTCTACAATTCTTTACCTCAGTGATAGATCGATACGATCTGAAGGAACCAGGAAGAATACGTGTGCTATTCATCAGCCAGGTTGAGAACGACATCGAGAAGGCTCTCTCCGCCGCAGAAGTCATAGCTCTTGAACCCTCAGACAACGAAAATGACATCAGGTCGTTTGTGCTCAAGGAGACCAAGGAGATCCAGCGGAAGCATGATCTCGACAATCACCAGGTTGATTATATAGTGGATTCTACTTGTAGAAGAGCAAAAGGTATTGATCCCCACGATCTGACTATAACGTACCTAAAACAAACTCACAGGGATGTTTTTGTTTGTCAAATTGGTCATGTCCAACCTGTATGCGCAACCTACACGGCAGCACCTCCAAGAGGAGATCAAGGTAACGAGATTCCCGCAGGGGCTCGAACAAGCGTAAGTCATATTGAAAGGCCTCTAATTCCCTATATTGTTTATTACCGTACTGTTGATGTGTTCGGCCAACCCCATGCGAAACTGGTCTTGGCTATTAATGATTAAGTTATGTCTGCAAGGCCTCCATTAGGCTCAAGCGACATAATTGACAGCGGCGCTTTCTACTCAGCTGACCAAGTATAGGTACCAGAGAATTCTGAGCCGCATAGCACATAACTCAACCCCTGCAGAGTGGACGATTGCAAGAAAGCTCCTTGGGTGGATGATTTGCGCCGTAAGGCCTCTGAAGTGGCATGAGATACAAGGAGCAATATCAATTGACCCAATTTCGCAAACTGTCAACTTTGATGATCGGAGACTGCGAATTCATATTCGCGATATCTGCGGATCTCTAATTGTATTGCGGCCTGGCGATAGGATCGAACTGGTTCACAGCACAGCCAAATTGTGAGTTTATGAGACGTCCCTGATGGAAGCATCCTGATTGAGCTTTTCTGCAGTTTTATTGCTAATACCGGCTACGTACGTACACCAATAGTTCAATGCGATCTTACGGCCCTGTGCATACAATATCTCACTTTCGAATGCTTCGATGACGATATCAGCCAAGAGAAACTCGTTGAATTTGCGATTGGAGGATACTTTGCGTTTCAGGACTACGCAGTTGCAAATTGGGCACATCACTTCCTTGCGATGATAGAAGCAGAGCAGTCTCACTCTGCTGCAGAGTCCGATATAGAGGAGACCATGGAGGAGCTCGGGAATGCACTCAATGACTTTACCGTAAAATTTCAGGAAGAGTTTGTCCAGGAAGAGATTGTGCACACTTCTGGGAAAGCTTGCAAAGCCTTTCAACAGCGCAATTTTCATGCAAGCCTACAATTGGTGTGGAATCATGTGGATCAGCACCAGAACAAGGGATTCGAGGCAAGAAACAATGTCAGTCTGGAAATCCTAGGCAAGGCCTTCGCCCGCAATAGAAAACTGCTCGAAGAGCTTACGTTCTCTACAAACTGCTCGTCCAACAGACAGAAGAATTTAGAATCCTTTTACGGCGACAAGCGATACAAATGTCCTAAACTTACCTGCTTCTATTTTCATGAAGGTTTCCAAGACGCAAAGTGCCGGGATCTACACAAGAACCGCCACGATCGCCCGTTTCAATGCACTTTCCCTAATTGTACAATGGTCGAGTTTGGGTTCAAGTCGTCAAAAGAAGTGGACAAGCACATGAAGGCCTACCATCCTGATGAGAACGATGAGGCAGTCACCTTTACGGCAGCAAATACGGTACGAGCCTCGACGCCATTCGCATGCTCTGTTTGCGAGAAAAGGTTTACTCGCGGCTTTGCTCTACGAAACCACATTCGAAGTCACAATGCTGAACGTCCATTCGCTTGCTCCTTGGGGTGCGGCAAGGCTTTTACGCGAGCTAACGATTGCAAAAGACACGAAAAAACCGTTCATGCGAGACGGTGAGGAGGCTGAATCCATATAAAATGCTATGATAGCACGCCAGAGTGGTAGGCTGTCAGCCTGGTATAAACTTGGAATTGAGAGGTTGTAGAAGAAGTCTGAGTGGAGATAGAAAACATGCGCACTTCGTGGTATGCAATGGGCGCTCTGCCACAAGACTAGGACCAGGCTTTGGGCTACAGCTCTGACAACATCTGTCTCTAGATTATCACCTTAATTGCTAGGAGATGTAGAGTCAATCATTTGTTTGTTCGCTGCTTTTGTCTCTGCACAGTTTTATTAATGTGAGCCTCCGTTGATGGTTTTGTCATTTATCCATCCAATGAGATTTGTGTAGCCATTTATTTGTTTGTTTGTTCATAGATGCATAAGTTGACATGCAAAAGGGGTAGCAGTGGTAACAGTAACGACGATGAGGTAACGGCAATGAGGTAACGGCAATGAGGTAACGGCAATGAGGTAACGGCAATGAGGTAACGGCAATGAGGTAACGGCAATGAGGTAACGGCAATGAGGTAACGGCAATGAGGTAACGGCAATGAGGTAACGGCAATGAGGTAACGGCAATGAGGTAACGGCAATGAGGTAACGGCAATGAGGTAACGGCAATGAGGTAACGGCAATGAGGTAACGGCAATGAGGTAACGGCAATGAGGTAACGGCAATGAGGTAACGGCAATGAGGTAACGGCAATGAGGTAACGGCAATGAGGTAACGGCAATGAGGTAACGGCAATGAGGTAACGGCAATGAGGTAACGGCAATGAGGTAACGGCAATGAGGTAACGGCAATGAGGTAACGGCAATGAGGTAACGGCAATGAGGTAACGGCAATGAGGTAACGGCAATGAGGTAACGGCAATGAGGTAACGGCAATGAGGTAACGGCAATGAGGTAACGGCAATGAGGTAACGGCAATGAGGTAACGGCAATGAGGTAACGGCAATGAGGTAACGGCAATGAGGTAACGGCAATGAGGTAACGGCAATGAGGTAACGGCAATGAGGTAACGGCAATGAGGTAACGGCAATGAGGTAACGGCAATGAGGTAACGGCAATGAGGTAACGGCAATGAGGTAACGGCAATGAGGTAACGGCAATGAGGTAACGGCAATGAGGTAACGGCAATGAGGTAACGGCAATGAGGTAACGGCAATGAGGTAACGGCAATGAGGTAGCAGTGAGCTAGTAAACTTGACGAGTTGGCATTCTTGTTACTAGTATAAAACCCAGCTGCAGGTTTTCTTCCTAGCTTAGTTTCTGCACAGTTACAACCTCCTAGGTATGCCTATAGATCCTCCGTAGTTTTGTGCTACACCCTTTCTGTAGCAGCAGTGAGGTAACGACGCAACCGACGATAAGAATAGCGCTACACTGCACTGCAATTTTAGCGTAGATGAAGACGAACTGCAACTTCAATTTTAGCGTATATTCTTACAGCACAGCCTGCGCTATGGCCCAAAAGGGCATTAGGGCAGGGCATAGCGTTAGCCAAGCATTCGGCCTTACGCGTACAGCCAAGTGCTCCATGAGCGCTATACCGCATCTAGTCTTAGGGCTAGAAGCTAGAGTAGGCTTGGCGCTCCGAGCGCTCATATCTCTCTACGCCTCCATAGCACTTAGATAGTTCATCCATCGCCTTACCACATAGTCATATAGTAGTTCATACGTAGCTATTTCGTGACTCTTCTGCTTCTATAGCACCCCTATACACTGTTCCACGGCCTTCCGTGTAACATAGATGAAGGCAAAACATCCAGCCTTAGGAGGAATGCACTACGTTGCTACTTGAATAATTAGTTCCGCTAGAAGTGCGGTTTAAACATGATGTTGCTCTGAAACAGAGTAAAGTAGTCAAACAAATAATATCAAAATACTCATGACATAGCAGTACCCACTCTATGCCAGGCCTAATGTAGTCATACTATCATAATATTTGTACCCAGAAATTTCTAAGCTTTAGTCTCTACTAGGTCATAGACATCTAAAATAAGTCCAAGCAAGTAGAACATCACATACTTTCAAGCTAGAAACCTTTTTCGAATATTCCCTGTGTTGCTGAATGATTGACCCTGCCTTATTGAGAGTAGCGTTGCCGCGATTTAGCATCATCATTTTGCTGCTAGCCATGGCCAATGAGTGCACGAGAAGATTTCCCTCAAGCACTGCAATTTTAGCATAAATGAGGGCGACATATTTCCCCCCTGAACATCCTTAGGGTGGCTAGCCAGCCCCACTGAAAACGGTCACTTTTGTGCTCTCAGGCCACTGAGGGCCAAGCCCGATCCAGGCTAATCACACTCTCCAACAGTAGCAAGGGTTGGTTTGACATCTGGCATGTCCACTCCGTTATTTTTGTACACGCGATATTACTATAGGAGTTTCAACTTCATCAAATTATGTTTATGTATAAAACTTAATGACCATATTCCCATCATCATAGGACGCTGTGAAATCCTGAAAATAACATCATTTGAGAGACATTTATTGGTGTTATCTACTGACCTGAAGAGGAATCTGGTACCTAATGTCTGGAGTGCTGGTCTGGAAGCAGTAGATTGAGTGCCTTGTCTGAACTAACATCTATTCAATAATACGAATAAGTAACCGGCTTCGATCTAGGCTCACGAAGCCGATGTGAAGTCCCCTCAAGGCTAACATTACTGTGCATGCCACCATAGGCATGCAAGCCTACGACGTACTAAGTAGGGTCTCAAAGCAAATTAGAACGCTGTACTTCACGGGCCGCAGGCTCCAGGCAGACTAGCAATCCTCTTTATCTACGCTAAAATTGCAGTGCAGTTGACCTTATGAGGGATCTAACCCTGCACTTTCAGTTGTACTAAGCTTTGCAGCTTAGTGCACCGCAGCGCAACGATAGAACGCAGCGCAACGATAGATTTTTTTAATTATTCGTACGGCCACACAAAACGCGCTCCCATTCAACGAAAAATGGCCGAATCCTATCAAGAAATTGAGGATAGAATTAATGATGCTATTTACGCATTAAACGAAGCCGAATTCCCTAATATCACGAAAACAGCGCGCCAATTCGACGTCCCTGAGCAGCGACTCCGAAGAAGATTCAAGGGCGTTCAAAATAAGATACAATGTGGGAGGAGTAATAAGAAGCTCAATAAGGACCAAGAGCTTGCTCTTTGATCACCTCTGATCATGCTCATGAGTGCTCACCCTGATCACCTCTGATCATTGCTCATGAGTGCTCACCCTGATCACCTCTGATCATTGCTCATGAGTGCTCACCCTGATCACCTCTGATCATTGCTCATGAGTGCTCACCCTGATCACCTCTGATCATTGCTCATGAGTGCTCACCCTGATCACCTCTGATCATTGCTCATGAGTGCTCACCCTGATCACCTCTGATCATTGCTCATGAGTGCTCACCCTGATCACCTCTGATCATTGCTCATGAGTGCTCACCCTGATCACCTCTGATCATTGCTCATGAGTGCTCACCCTGATCACCTCTGATCATTGCTCATGAGTGCTCACCCTGATCACCTCTGATCATTGCTCATGAGTGCTCACCCTGATCACCTCTGATCATTACGTTGTCCAGGTCTGACCTCGTGTGCAGTTCAGGGTCCAGTCCTGTCCAAGTCTGTCATAGTTCCTTCGCAGAGTGCCAGGCAGCTCTGTAGTGCCTGTCTGTGCTTGGCGTGTTCACGTGCTGTAACACTATCCCCTCCTCTTACTAGCTTAGTCCTATAAGCTAAAAGTATGTCTTTTAATTTCTTAGGATTTTGCAATTTCTCTTTTTATAATGCCTTTACCTGTTTACTATATTAGCAAACCTTCCTTTAATGTTTAGCGTTAGGCTTTATCTGAGAAGATAGCCTTCTAGGGTTGTTGTATTGTTATGCTATATTTAGTATATACTTATAATAAAGTAGTATGCCTTTTTTTTTTATATTTCTCAAAGTATTTATATTATATAGCGAAAGGTGTTCCTTATAATAAAAATTATTTAGAAAATAACTTCTAAAAGTTAAAGTTTAAGTAGACTTATTTAGAGGCTACTTATTCTTATATTATAATAAAGGCTATAAGTTTAGATTAATAGATTAAGTCTCTTTAAAAGGCTTAAGGCATAATAATTGCTTAAGAGGCTTATTCCTTAGAATAGGAAGAGCTTACTTAAGAGTTGTAATCTAATATTATTAGGGTTAGCGTCTTTAATAAGTAAGAGTTAACTACTCTAATATCTTTTTTGCCTAGTCTAGGTTCTAGTAATAATAATTTATAAGTGTCTTAAGGCTAAGGTTTATCTCTAGTTTCTATATGTTTTCTAAGTCTATATATCCTGATTATTTTATTAGGTAGTAAGGTTTTTTATTAATATCTTATTTATTTAAGACTTTCTTAATCTTATACTCTTAGTCTTAAGTTTCTTTATTTAGTTAGATTTCTATAAGTCTTATAT